TGAGCAATATATTGATTATTATATTTATATATTATATTATTTATATATTATAGTTAATTCTGTTAAACTACAACTAGAACCTTGTCTCCCACACATAAGTAATTTATTCTTTATTTTTGGTGATCAACATTGTAATTATATTTAATTGTGTGAATCTGTGCCTAAAGCATTCTCTCAAACATAAAAGAAACTGATATTTTATTGTTTAATTACAGGAATCACAACAACCTCTCCCTTCAGCAAGCACACTGGGTCATCACTAATTACAGAACAACATAGCACTTCTATATTTTCATCCATAGCAACAAGTCATTCACCACCAACTCCATACATTGCTGGACCTTCTCCAAAACCTGTACAAAGTTGTCAGTCGGGGTGGTCAAACTGGTTGAACAGAAACTCCCCTCTAGAATCATTTGGAGACTATGAGAAAATGACAGAAGAAGAGTTTTCTGCTGTTTGTTATGGTGGAAATATCACTGACATTTCATGTGTGGATTCTGAAACTAGTGACGATTGGTCAAGCTTGTCAGAGGCTACTTGTACTGTAGAAAATGGTCTACAATGTGACAATATACCATTACCAGACATCCCTCCATGTAGAGACTACAAGATAAGATACATGTGCCAGTGCCCAGGTAAGATGGTGTTGTCATAATGGAGGAGTTCAATGATAACCTAAGCATAGCTCTGTACACAGCTGGGTTGTGCAAACACAGATTAGTACACTGATAGCGCATTACACATTCTAACATTGTACAGTTAACTCCTAGTTTGCTGCAAGCCACATGAATGACAAGAATTTTCTTTAGTTTAAATCACCAGGACAGTTAGGCCTTTATAGCATGTTATTTTTAGAAAATTTGATTAAGTAAAGACTGCAGTGGCACATTGCCTGTCAATACAGTGGTTTACTCTCCAATGGAAACATTTTTTTTTGGGGGGGGGGGGGGGGGGGGGGAGGTCTAATTAGTAGAGCTCTAGGCTCAACTCAGCCTCGTAAAAAATAGGTGCCAGCAAATTTTCACACTTGTCTGGGTCTTGTCTGCAAACAAAATGAAAAACTCGCCACACACACAAAATTAGAACTCAGTGAAACACAGTTGATGGCAGCCATTAATTGTTTTCAAGAGGGCTACCAGTATATAATAGTGAATTCTAGAACTGAACAGTTTAAGTTTAAATTTTACAGATCATTCAAGCAATTTATTAAACATTTTACTGTGACTTTAACTTTAAAAGCTTTTATGATAAAATTTGAGAATATTAAGATCATTTTATTTATTCTGTGAACATGCATACATCTGTGTTTAATTTATTTTTTCTTAACAGATATACCACCCTCTAAAATACAAGTAAACTGTGCATGGTCTCCCTGGCTGAATGCTGACAGGCCAGAGAGTGGCATGGGTGACATTGAACGTATTATTGATATCAAAACAATGTTTGGTGTGTGCTCTAATATTATCAACATAGAATGTCGTGTGGCCGGTACAGAGACATTGTTCTCTCAGTCTGGAGAAAATCATCTAGCATGTGACTTCCTTAATGGATTCCGCTGTTATAACAGTGAGCAAAGTGATGGTCACTGCCTTGATTACGAAGTGCGAGTGCTGTGTTGGGGAGATCAATGTTCAGGTCTGTTGATATTATTGATGATTCATATAAATATATTATAACTTTTTAGGTTATTGAAATATTATTCATGTTAAAATTTTCCCTCCATTTATAATGTGCATGTTAAACATATTTATGTTTTAATTTATAAATGAACTGCTTTCAGTAAGTAAAGAACCATTTTTATACTAGTGGCACATTGGGTATATGAAATTCATAGACCAAACCGCACTTGATGAGTGATGAGATCAGTCAACATCATGCTGGTGGCCTTTACTTCCCAGGACTTTACTTCCCAGGACTTTACCTGGACTTTACTTTTTAGGCTGGATCAACCTGGAAGCCAGGGACATTTTTGAAACAAATCAGATTCAAACCCAAGATCTTTTGAACAGATGTGACCATCTAGCTACCACACCACTGTGGCTTGCAGCTGAATTCAGAGTTGTCACTAAGTGCTGAAGTATATTGATGAAAACAAACTAGAAAAAAAAAAAAGAAACTAACAACAATGCACATCATAAAATGTCATAACAGCTAAATATTTTTTTAAACCACTAACAACATTGCACATCATAAAGTAGCATAACAGCTAAATATTTTTTTTAAAGCACTTACTAACAACAATGCACATCATAAAGTGTTATAACAGCTAAATATTTTATAAAACCACTAACAACAATGCACATCATAAAATGTTATAACAGCTAAATATTTTATAAAACCACTAACAACAATGCACATCATAAAATGTCGCAACAGCGAAATATTTTATAAAACCACTAACAATGCACATCATAAAGTGTCGCAATAGCTAAATATTTTTTTTTTAAAACCATGTACTGTTGAGTGAATAAACAACATTGGTTACATCAAAAGTAAACAGTCCACATTCTTGGGCGACCCTGGAAAGGATAAAGGAAAAGAGGCCTAAGAAAATCAAGAGAGAGGATTTTGGACATTCTGTATTATGCTATGGAAAAACATCTGTGTCAAAAAAATGTTTGACAGCTTTTAGTGTGTTAGTGCTTCCCATCAATGCACCTTTACGACCCTTGGGTTATGTTATGTTATGATATGTCATGAGACACAAGTATGTGCATATGACATTCCAATGACATTCATGATGGACTATAGGAACAAGAAAAAGATAAAAATACTGCAGTCACTACAAGGGACATTTTCCATAACACAGAAATGCCCAGTGCTTGATCCCAATGACTACATATGACAAGAAAAAATAGAAGCATGCATTATTGCTCTCAACACAACAAAAGTGCATTTTTGGGGGTTTATAGTAATGGCAATAACATAGATTAGCCCTGGAAATCTGCATCAGTCATTATTAAATTCATAATGAACTCAATGAACACAAGCTATAACTAGAAATCTCAACAATGGGGAAGGAAAACAATCATACACAGAAAAATCAAATGCTTCAACTGAAGTCTTTATCCGTGAGCCTTAAGTGAGTCTTCTTGTTATAGAAATTGTTGATGAAAACCTTGGTTGGGGTGATAGTTCACTTCTGGGTATGATATAGAACACCCCTGTCTCCTTTCCGTTGAGTTATCTAGTCATAGCTTATGTTCAGTGAATTCATTTTTTTAAAATACAAGCTCGACTGTAGTCCACTTTGTTTTTTTCAATATTATACTTAAAATGTTTTTTCTTTGTTGTATACCGTTGAGTAGTATATGTAGATATGAACACAAGAAATGGACAATAATCAGATGAAAAGTGAACTGTTAGAGAACAGTTTTACACCATCCAGATTTATGTGCTATGCAGGGCAATTTTTCTGGCAGTATGCAATGGTACATAGCACTGGCACCAATCTAGAGGCATCATTTTATCAGCACTACGGTAATGGACACTTTGTGGTGTGTACCAGCACCTTCTTTTTTTTTTTTTTCTAGGGGAAAAAAGCCCTGGTGCTATATTCTGTTAACTAATATTATCAGTGACTAATGTCGCAAAAGAATTATGGGTAAGTTGTATATCATACTTTATCTAGCTCTCTAGATTTTTGCTGCCCATTTTTTTGCTTGATTGAGGGTAGAATGCTGCTGAAAGGAACATAATTTTATCATTTTGATATTTAAAATCTGTGTAATTAATGAGTGAAATTGTTAAAATTGCACACAAGAATACCTTAACATGTGATCAATCAATTGACAGTTTTGCTGCATCTGGGTCATTGCTAGCTTTTATGCATACCAGCTTTCCTTTCAACTAATAAAAACATGCCATGGGATATCTAAGCAATTTTTTTTAAATCTGTTTATTAAAGGGAATGATGGCTGAATTATTTTTATGGACATTCCTTAGCAGCAATACTAAATGACAACACTAGTGAATGCAACAGCAACAAAAAACAAAAACAAAAAATGAGAAATATATTATCCATTTCCAAACTATCTCTGTCTGGACTTTATTATTATATTATCTTTATTTGAAAATAACTTCTCCTCAAGTGTTTTACATTTGCAAATGTTATGGAAGAGCCATTGTGTCAAAACTGTTACTCTGTGATTTTCTAGGACAGCTATAGAGGGCCTCAATCATCAGAAACAATGCACTGAGTTGCCAAAAGTAAGCAACTCACCAGCATTATACTTCTCTTCTTTTTCTGTGATTTCAGTTACATATGACCAGATAAGACCATTAGGTGGATTGCCTCTATGAACTCGCATATCAGTAGCAGGTCCTTCATGGTTCCCCATAGCTTGCTCTGCACACTTTGCTCTTGAGGTCAGGTGTCTTTTCAAAGTTGTATGTAGAATGTGCATTTCTGCAGAATGTGCTCAGGTGCTTGTGATCCTGTTTGGCAGGAACACTGTGGGGACTGTACAATCTTTATTTCATGCATGTGGTTGTTGAGCCTGCAGTGTCCTGTTCATAGGCAGAAAATTGTTGTATGTTGCTTTCTGTTGAGTCTGCTGATGGGATCTTGTGGATGTTTACTGTTAGTTTGTTCTCTTCACAATTCCTTGTATTTTCCCTTGACAAGTGTTCTGATTTCTGGTAATGACAATGAATGAGTGTTGTCTTTCCTTTGTTCCATTTTTTGCAAGTCTGTCTGCAAACTCATTTTCTGGTATGCCGCAGTGAGCTGGGCTCCACTGGAAAATGATTTAAGTTTGTTTAGCTTGCTATATTTTCTCATGGATCCTGGAGGACTGATATGCAGTCACAAAGGAAAACAATTTTGCTGCTTTTAATTTTTGTTTCCTCAAGTTCTTCGGCTAAATCAATAATTGCTTGCTGCTCAGTCTGAAGTTTGTTGAGTCTTCCGGATGCGCATGACATTTCTACTGTGGTCCGATTTTACATCGATGATGACCAATCCAGCTCCTTCGTGTTTTCCTGCCCCCTCCAGTGATCCATCGGTGTATACATGTGTCCAGTGGCGCGGTGATTTATGTCACAGGCGTGAGGGGAAGTTAAGTCCAACATGATGTGTAAAAGGAGATACTCCGTACATCACTCGGGCGTCAGTCCTTTACTATCCTGGTTGTACGGAACCTCACGCAAGACCCCTACAGCACGTCCTCGTCGTGCGCCACGGATAATGTCTCAAATGAGCATTAATAGAGATGTCAGGGGATCTCGGAGTTCGGCGGCCCCCAGAGGTGATGTGTCCTTGTGGCTCTCATCAGCCCGCCCCCAAACGCTTGGGTGAAAAATGTTATCAAAACTCATTAGGAACATGAGTAAGTTTGCCAAACGTACAGCCAAAATTACAACCCTTGGTTAAAAGACTGCGGAGTAAAGAGAACACTGTTCACTGCACATCCTCTGTTAACCCTCAGTGTCGTCGTCACCGCGCTGAGATACACCACAACAGCAACCATCCATAGGCTGGCCATCCTTGTACATCCTCGGTTAACCCTCAGTGTCGTCGTCACCGCGCTGGGGTACACCACAACAGCAACCAGCCATTGGATGGCTAAGCCTAAATGTCCGACAAAACTAGATCATACGGATCAAAATCTGACCATCAAAATTTGCATTGAACTGAAAAAGACTGAATGTCCACACCCAAAGACCCCACTCGCCCGAGTGTTGGGACAAAACTGATAACGATATGTCTGATGCAGGATGTAAAATTCTGGCGGGCTAACGGCTCGTCAAAGAAATTCAACGTGCGAGGAAAAAAAGAATGTACCTATCTGTGTGGTCACAAAAGTCCAAAACCCACGGGCTGCTCCCCGCTGACTTCCAGAGGGCGCAGACCCTGTCGAGCGGGAGGCCTGATACGGTTGTGAGGTTAAGCAGGCATGTGCAGGACGTGACGATTCCTTGGGTGAGCCCAGAACCAGAGCGCCATGTGCCGGCTCTGCATGCATGGAAGCCTCCTTGGATGGCCGGGGAATGCCCATGATCTGCCCCTGCCTTCCCTTGAGGGCTAACTGTTCCACAGGGGACTGCCCCAAAGGGGTACTCCGGGGGCAATACCTGCGGCGAAGGAGACAAAGTGGACACCACACAAGTCAGGTAACGTCTCGACCCACACAAAACAATGGCCACAGTCACCCTAGAAATAGGCCTGACGTCTTCCTTCGAAGTCGGAGTACAGCTGCCCAGGAGGCAGGGAAATTAAAAACGGTTGTACACGCAAAAATCAGGTCCAGGTGAAAGCCAAAAGTCCAAGCGGACGATTATCCTGGACCTTCCACTGGAATTCACAGCCGGTGATCGATTAAAAAAAAAAAAAAACATGTGTCCAATCTGGTTTTGGATAAGAGTTGTAGACATGTTCAAGGGTCTTTGGATGCAGTACTAGGCCACATTCTTAAGCCTTTCTATTTATGCCTGGAATTGTTGTTGTGACTGTATAGTTAGGCTGTAGGTCTATGCTGTATGCTTGGATCATTTCCCACGTTGAAGGATCTTTAAAGAGGATGTCACTGTTTTTTGTGTGCAAAGTTCAATTTGATAAATGGTGAAATTGTTGTCTTTTCAGTCGCTTCTTAAAGTATTTTTAGTATTATATGTTATACAGTAAAACAGTAATTACACTTTTCTTATCTTCCCCAGGCAAACCAGAATCCACAAAAGCACCTCAGCTGACAACTCCTGGTTTACTTGACACTGCAAGGACAACAGGTGAGCATTTATAATACAGAAGTTACATTTCATTAATTTAAAGCTATACATTGTAGCGCATGGGAACCAAGTGTTTTTAAATATTCATACAATCATTTTTTTTTTTTTTTTACAGTAACAAAGTTTGTTAGTAGAACAACATATGTAAAATATGGCATTTCAAAATTATGAATAGAAAATACCATCTGACATTGATGTCCTTCTTTGTTGATGCATCACTGAAGGTGTTCATAAAACTGGGCTCAACTGTTTCCAGAAGGTCTCTGTTGATTTAATGGATTTGTCGACAGATAACTTTCTTCAATTCATCTAACGTAAGAGACTTTACCTCCTAAACACATGAGGCATCCCCATCCTAAACACATGAGGCATCCCCATCCTAAACACATGAGGCATCCTCATCCTAAACACATGAGGCATCCCCATCCTAAACACATGAGGCATCCACATAGAGAGAAATAATATGGGACAGATAAGAAGACTGAGGTGACCATACTACTTCACCAGATCTCCAAATGAGATTATTTGGAACAAATGGTGAATAACAGTCATTAACGCCTGACTGTGTGTGTTGGTGGCCCCATCTTGATAACAGTCAATACCTCTTCTTTGTAACTCAGGAATAAATAAAGATGTTCATCTCAGTGTAATGCTCAGATGTTAAATGTCCAGTAACTCTATTCTGATGGGGTGGGGGGGGAGGCAAAACTTGGAACTGATGCCACCAAACTGTACCACCAAACTATTACCTTAGGACAGTTTGTCATGTAACTGTTGCAGATTTTCAGCACACAAACCACATATAACTATCAAAAGTGAAGAAATACAAAATGTAACAGATTTCGAATACTTGGGCTCTTTAGTGAACAACAGTGGTGACTGCCCAAAAGAAGTCAGAAGAAGACTTGCATTGGCAATGCAGAGATTAAACAGCATGAAGAACCTATGGCAAAGAACTAGTAAATTGGTTAAAGTTAAATACTTGAGATCATGCATTTTTCCTGTGGCAACTTAGGTTGCGTGTCCTGGACTCTCACTCAATCACTGAGGAAAAAAGATTGCAGCTTTTGAATTGAAGTGTTATAGAAAAATTCTTAGAATACCATGGATCAAGAAGAGGAAAAACATCGACATTCTGAATGAGTTGAACATCAAGGGGAACTGGCTCATAAACAGCATCCTGTCCCAAAAGTTGAAGTATTTTGGCCGCATCAAGCATCATGGTGGCTTGGAAAAGACGGTGATGGAGGGTGCAGTTTGTGGAAGGCGAGGCAGGGGTCGACCACCGCAAAGATGGATACAGGACATTGAAGAAGCATTGGCTTTATAAGCACATGTGGCCAGAGAGCTGGCTAGGGAGAGGGATACTTTCAAGCGTGCCCTGAAGAGATCGACATTCTGTAAAGGACTTGCTGGTTTATGAGATTAACATATTTATTTATTTTTAATTTTTTATTTATATTATTTTTCTTGAACCTTATTGTATATTCTTTAAACTATTTCCTAATATTTTTCCATTCAATAATTACATATTTTCTGCACGATTAAAAAAACAGTTCTTTATTTGTCTGCATAATTGTGTAGGCTCTTGTTTACCGGGAGAAGAATGGCATAGCTGTGCTTTCACTTGTGATGAAGTCTGTGATTATATGGGTCGTTCAAGTGGGGCATGCAAAGGTATTCCGACTCCAGAAGATAACTGTGTGCCTGGATGTCGTAGATCACAGGCAGTAACTAACATCACTTGCAAAGACAATGAGAAGTTTATCGACTCTCGTACTTGTGTCCCTAAAGCAATGTGTACATGCCTTAGGCCAGATGGAACAGCTGCAAAGGTCAGGAACATACTCTATAAATAAGGGCTTCTATTTGTTCCTTCATGTTTTGTCTCTTAGGTAGTATACCTTAAGTTTGGTATCTTAAATATTGTGTCTAAACTGTTGTCTTAAGTATTATGTCCTATGTATTCTTCTTCTTCTTCTTCTTCGCGTTCACCAGCTGTACACTCTAGCGGAAAGTTCTGGTTGCCCGTCCACTTTTGAACTGCAGTCCTGCTCCAGAACCTGAGTGTTGCGTGTGCATCAGTTTTACAGATTTCATTCTCTTGAATACAGACTGTTAGGTTCCTTGCCTCTCTGGCAGATGCACTCTGACTTCAAAAGAAGCTCCCTAATTAGTCGACTCTTACGACATGCTTTTGGGGAGGCAGTGGGTCTATTCTTGTTTTCCCCACAATGGGGCCCCGGAACCCACACGGGGGGTCCTATGTATTGTGTCTTGAGTATTACGTATTACACTGAGTCTTAAATATTACTGGTATGTTTTAAGTACTATGTCTTAAGTATTACCAATATGTTTCAAGTATTGAGTCTTAAATATTACCAGTATGTTATAAGTACTGTATCTTAAGTATTATGGTATATTTTAAATACTGTGTCTTAAGTATTACCAAAATGGTATAAGTATTGTGTCTTAAGTATTACCAGTTTAAGTATTGACTCCCTTTTTGAAAATGAATTTAGCATGGATGAACTAGAGCAAGCCCTGAAGAAATTAAAACCTAGAAAATCTCCAGGCCCAGATAAGATCCACAACGAAATGCTGCTACATCTTGGCCGGTCTGGGAGAGAAGTAGTTCTCAGGCTTATTAATAAAACTTGGAGGTCAAGCAAACTTCCAAGGGCATGGAGGAATGCATATATCGTCCCCATCTTTAAAACCAAAAAGCCTCCAGATGACCCCAAAAGCTACCGCCCGATATCCTTAACATCATGCTTGGGCAAAGTTGCAGAAAGAATGATAAACAGGCGCTTATATTGGTTCCTTGAGAGTTCTGGTGTTCTATGCCATGAACAGGCAGGCTTCAGAACCAACAGCTGCACAGAAGACCAGCTGTTCAGACTGACACAAAGAATACATGATGGCTTCCAGAATAAGAAACACACAGTGGCAGTCTTTGTCGACCTCCAGCAGGCCTATGACAGAGTATGGAGAAAAGGTCTCCTGATGAAGATGATGAGCATAGAAATACATGGCAGATTGTATAACTGGGTGAAATACTTCCTGATAGATAGAACAATCCAGACTAAGATGCACAATGCAATCTCTTCTAAAGAAGTCTTGGAGGAGGGCTTGCCACAAGGCTCATCATTGAGCTGTACACTATTCCTAATCTTTATCAATGACCTGCCAGAACAAATCAAGGCCGAAAAAGCCTTGTACGCTGATGACCTAGCAATATGGCAGAGTCATGAAAATGTGGAAAGTGGAGCCCAAAGACTGAATGGAGACCTTAGAAGACTGCATGATTACTGCCAAAGATGGAAACTCAAGATTAACTGTGCAAAGACGGTCTACACAATCTTTACCAAAAGCCACCAAAGTGCAAGGAAGAATATTAACCTGAGGTTAGACAAACACCAAGTGATGAAAGAAGAGCATCCCACATACCTTGGAGTCACACTTGACCCGCAGCTCAGCCTCAAGAACCATATTGAAAACATCAGGAATAAGGCATTGAGGCGGTTACAGTTATTAAAGAGACTTGCAGGTACATCATGGGGATCAGACAAGGAAACTCTGAGGGGCTTATACCTAGGATATGTTCGCTCTGTGATAGAGTACAACAACTCACTGCTTACAACTTGTTCCAAAACTAACCTAGAGACTCTTGACAGAGTACAAAATAATGCCCTCCGATTAATCTGCGGAGCTATGCAGTCTGCACCAACTGCTGCATGTGAAATCCATACAAATGTGGAACCCCTCGGGTTGCGGAGAGAAAAAGCCACTTTAGAAATTTATGAAAGATGCGTTAGGAAAAATCGTAACCATCCTAATAGACATCTTGTAGAAAACTGGGAACCCAAACAAAGAATAAAGCACAAATCGGTTTTACACTGTGTTAATGAAATTCAGGACAGATACCACCTCCCAGAAAGACGTCAAGGAATTCAGAATGTTGCAAAAAAACCTACCACCACATGCTCGCTTTAAAGCTCCAGAAGTCCAAACTAAATTGGTAGGCGAGGAAACCAAACAGTCCGACCCAATCGCTCTTATGAACTCATCACTAAAGACCGTTGATTCTTACCCCCAAGAATGGATACATGTCTATACTGATGGATCAGCATTTAAAGCTACCATGAAAGCAGGTTACGGAATCTACATAGGTTATCCCGATGGATCTGTTGAAGAGATTTTTGATGCATGCGGGGAATTCTGTTCAAACTATGAAGCTGAAATAATTGCACTGGAAACAGCAGTATACCACCTAAAGACTGTAATGGATGTTTACCCCTCAAAGGTCCAAAATATTGTCATCTTCACAGATTCAATGTCTGCCCTTCAAGCTCTGGAGGGCAATGAACGCTGCAGAACTGACATAGCCAAGATAATCCTGGATGCCGATCAGCTTATTATCTCATACAACATCAGAATAGTGATGCAGTGGATTCCAGGTCACTCCGGCACACCAGGTAATGACAGAGCTGACAGATTGACAAAGAAAGGAGCAACACAAGAACAACCACCTACAGCGACAACCCTCCAGACAGCAAAAACATTGATAAGAGCTATAAACAAAGAGACTTGGTTGAACAGATGGGCCATGGGAGACACTGGAAGAGAGGTTTATAGACATATGTCTGGCCCTGATCCTAATGACAGCATTAACCATCTAACAAGAAGGGACCAGGCCACCATCTTCAGACTTAGAACGCAACATACTCCACTCAATGGACACCTAAACAGAATACAGCCACAACACTCCCCAGAGTGCCAGCTATGTAACTACCCCTATGAAACTGTTGAACACCATCTCTTTGAGTGCCCAAAACTCAGTGAGACAAGAAGAACGCTACTCCCTCCGAGACCAGACAAGTGGAACACCTTGTACGGAGGAAAAGAACAGCTTGTGAAAACATGCAAATTTCACTACATGGCATTGGGCCAAAGGGAAAAAGCTCATGCGCCGCTGGATCGATAACAACAACAACAACAAGTATTGAGTCTTAAGTACAATGTCTCAAGTATTATGCACTAAATAAATATTGTGTCAGAAGTATAGTGTCTTAAGTAAGGTGCCCTAAGAATTGTGTCCTATGTATTGTACCTCAAGTAAGGTGCCTTAAGTATTTAGTCGTGCACTGGCTGCTGAAGATATGGATGAGGCACTCAAGGGAATGTCCTGAGTACTGTGTTGGTTTTTTTAAAACAGCTTAGCTATGCTCAAGTATTTTGTTTTGAGTATTGTGTCCTAAGTATTGTGTCCTAAGTAAAGTGACTCAGTAATTGTCTTAACCATTGTTCCTTAGCTATGGAATTTTAAGTATTGTACCTTACTACTAATAATCAAATTAAACATTAGAAAACGCACACTAACACTAAATTGACAATAAATTCTAACTATATTTATAACTATATTACATTATACTCATGAAACAAAAAAGCAGCATAAAGCTGTTTTAAAGGGATATATATGCAGTAACTGATGTACAAGGATAGCAATTCTGTGCCTAGTTTATCAGCTAATCACATATTGAGCAGATTCAACCTCAAGCTGTGCAGAGATTATTGTCTTTGAGGTAATCCAGCCACATAAAATGGCTGTGAAAGATTTCTATGACTGATACTAAATGATCACCTCTTGAGTGTCCAAGTGGCCTTGACTTCCCCTGTCTTTTATTTAAATCACTACTGCACTATTGTTCATTACTGATTACTGATACATAAATATATGTTGCTTGTCATAACTTTTCTTTTATTTATTAATTTATTTACACTTCCGGCACAATGTGGAGGACTAGGCATGGCAGAATTTTTAGCTTCAAAGTTATTTTTGCTCCTGACAGTTTGCTAATGCAGTTTCCACATATGGATGGAAGTATAATGCTTTGCTGCCCAAGCTACTAAGTTAAGTGTTTGGTGTAGCACTTTGAGCTGTGGTGTTTTTTTTTCTCTACATGGAATGCCTTTCATTTGAGCAGCGGCTGGGTCTTGGTATTCAATGGTAGTCGGTTTACATGTGGGTTTGTGAAAAACCTTATGTAATAATTTTTCATGTGTTCAGCCAACTTACTGTGACTGACTACTTCCTTCAGTGCCTAACTAACTGCATTTCTAGGGATAACTATTGTCTTTGGTGCCTCTAGTAAATGCCTTTATGCATTTATTGTGTGTGCATATTTCTGGGACTAAGTGTTCGTTCCCTAGTTTTTTCATATGGGACAGTGAGAGACATTTCATTTGATTTTCAGTTGCTCAGGAATGGAGCTAGCATGGGGTGACCTGACTGCAGTGAAGTTGAAACCTTGACTAAGACTTTACAAAATGTTTGATATAATGACTTTTATTAATATAATATGTTTTTGTATTGCGTCAAAATGATTCTGTTTGATTTTCACTTCAATCAGGCCTTTGAAACATGGGAGAACCCTGAGCGTGAGTGTTCCATGTGTAGTTGCTTCAACGGAGAAGCCATCTGTAGTAGCTTGGATGGATGCTCTACAACACTTCCTCCACCTGGTGCTACAACACCTGTACCACCACCTCTGTGTGGCTGGAGTGAATGGATGAATGAAAACATACCAAGCACAAGTTAGTACCTCAGCTTTGTAAACTACCATAGAGGAGAGGTATTTTAGTTTATTTAAATAATTATTTAAATCAGATTAGCAGTAGTGAACATTTTGTAAGATTTAAGCCTAAAAACTACTAATCAAATTACAGATAATTAAGTATTAAACCTAAATTTTATTTGAAAGTTATTAATTAAACAATCAGTATTATATTATTTTTTTAAACAGGTGATTGCGAAAATGCTTCGCCAGAGTTATCAGTTGGTGACATTGTAAGCTACAATATGCCATGTACAATAATTTCTATCTTTTTACAGTGATGTATTTTTGAATGTTGAATTAATAATCAACATCACAGCACTCAGAACACCCCAATAAGTGCTCCATTCCCATCTCGCCTTTCCCCTGAGATCCCCTTGTAACTCCTTGCAGCGCCATTCTCCCCAGACCATAATTATCTATCTGCGCCTCCTCACTGTTCAATCACTCCCAAAGAGCCCTCACAATTCCAGCTAGTCATACATCAATATGCATAGGACACACAACTTCTGTAAGTAGAGCAGAGAAGTTAGGTATGAAATTCTGTGCCTGTTATTTATCATGTTATTAAAATAGAAAAATAATTATCTACAGCAAAAATATAAATGATAGTATAAATAATAAATCAAACTAAACTGCTGTTGTAAATGTAACTGAAACAAGAACATTTATACAAATGATTTATTTCTTTCATACATTCAGGGGTCTCACTCAGCTTGGGCAGCATTGAAACCATTTGCCAAATACTATGTATGTAGTGGGTTTGGGTTTCAGACTCTGTCCTTACTTCATTAGTGCATGTGTTTCAGAAATTCTTAGGGGTTGTAATTGTATTTTTTTTTTTATTGTACATGGAGCAGAAATTCTTAGAGGTTGTAATTGTATTTTTTATTTTTTTATTGTACATGGAGCAGCTGTGTGGATAAACACACTGGGTACTAGTTTCAGATGCCTAGGGTCACATGGTTGGTAAGATAATGGAATTTCTTCTGTCTGAGGCATAAATAAAAATCCCTACCTGCACGTTCATGATGACCATTCTAGCCATGTGGCCCTAAACCCTCAGACTAAAGATCCCCTTCCCTATTCATCTCTTACATTGCCCTAAAAGAGGTTAAGATGTGCAATAAAGACCTACTTTGTAGATAAATAGAAGATCAAAAGAGGCAAAAAGCAGGGATGTGAAATGTTTCCACACCCTTGGTTTGTTTGATAGAAGAAAATTACGGGATATTTTAAAGACATTTCTGCTGGTGTCATCTGTTACATGCAAGTTTCTCCCTGAGGGAAAAAAAACACAGTTAAACATGAACAGAATTTTCTGTGATGCTATATTGCTTTAATGCTTTTTAGATTCTGGAGGTGACTTGGAGTTGCTATCAACCCTGCAGAAATTGTACCACATTTGTGCCAACCCGACTCGTATAATGTGTCGTGATGCAACCACCCTGAAGGAAGCAGGTGATAGTGGACAGAATGTCTCCTGTGATTTGGAGTATGGCTTGAAATGTTTTGACTATCAAAATCCTGGCAGATGTTATGATTATGAAATCACTGTTTACTGCCCCTGTGTTGGTAAGTTGACTGTACAGAGTCAGTATGAGAATGACACATCATAAACTGTTTTAAAAGTTTTTAAAGTATATGTTGATGTATTACTATAAAGACCACCATTACAGCCACCATTATTTCTAGTTTTGTATATTAGGGTATACATGAATACAGGAAAACATTCATATGTTATTATGAATATAAATAGAAGTGTTTAGTTCTTTACATACTTGTACCGAGGAGCACGCCAAAGGACATGACTCCATATCCCTGTCTAGACTGATGGGCATGGGTGTGCAGCCTGGAGCTGCAAGAAATGATTATTTCACTAAGAGGACAAGATGCTTTATTAACCAACACATAACAAACGTCATCAGTTGTTTTACACTTGTGGAGCTTTTGAGGAGGAGATCAGAGCACCTATCTCCCCCCCAAAAAATTATATTCTTGTATTTTATATACATTTTATGTTCTACTACTATATGATGTGGGAGATGCAGCAGTCTACTGGACACCACACTTGTCTGCCAGCTTGGTGGTTGTGTGTTTAAATCTCCAAAAGAGATGAAAATTAAAATAAAATAAAAAATTCCTGATCTCTAATGTAGACCAAGCCTAAAATAAGCACAGAAAGTGAAAGATAACCATTGGTCTCTATAAAATATGCAGGATAGCAACATATGTCTCACCACATAAAGAAAGTGTGTTACCAAAATCCATCAGATAAGCTTTCATAAATTTCAAGAATGCTGTAATGTCGACTCTGAACTCAGCCCAACTCAATGCATTCTTTTGCAGTGTAAAAGCTATACAAATATGTACATATTATTACATAACATCTCTATGTAGGTGCCTGGGTCCCATCCATTGTGGGATGAATAGAATAGACCCACTGCCAGTTCTCCCTCCACCTCCCCACTGCACCCTGACCCCAGCAAGCATGTTGTAAAAATAGACTAATTAGGGTTGTTTCTTTTGAAGTCAGTGCATCTGCCTATGTGCAAAGAACCAACAATCTGCATACAAATAAGCATCAGTCATCAGTTCTCGTTATGCCTAGTGGCACATGAGGCTTCAGAGAGGACTTTCCATGCTTTCCTGTCCTGTGCAATCTTCAGTGCAGTTTTCCATGTCAAAGATGCCGACTCAGGTCATTTTCCATCGTTCGTCTCCATGTTGTTTTTGGGCGCCCTGTTTTCTCTTTCCCTCTGGTGTCCATGTGAGAGCTGTTTTGGCAGGTATATCAGAAGTCATTCTCATAACGTGGCCAAGCCATTTCCATCTTCTCTTGGTAATCATACTGTCTAAAGTTTCTTGGTTTGTGGCTTGAAGTAGTTTAGTGTTTGAGATTGTATCTGGCCAGAAAATTTTGATAATTCTATGTAGACGTGTGGTGGAAGGTGGACAGCTTGTGTGCATCTTTTTTGGTCATTCTCCAGCATTCCGCTCCATAAAGAAGAACTGGCAAAATGATGCTCTTGTAGAGTTGGAGTTTCGTTCCTCTGCAGTAATTGTTAGATTTCCAGAGTACAAATAAGCATGATCTTTGAAATATCAGTGCATACAAAACTAAAGGCAATTTAGTAACAACCACCTTCAGGTTTTTCAAAGAAGACTATGTGAGAACAAAAGAACATTCATGTCAGGTTCAATGATAGATGTTTTTATGTTACTTGTTTAAATATTTTTTTTCTGATGGTTAGTTGTTTTTTTTTCTGCTCAGCACACTTAACCTCACAGTCACCTAGTCACAGCAACCCTACTCCATCATATAATGCAAGTGAGTATTGCTTTTTTAAACCTTGACTCACTTATGTTTTTGTCACTTACAGATGTAAAACTTATTGATTGTGGGCAAATACAGTGAGGCCCCATTATTTCTTATAATTGTTTTCAGTTTGAGTGTATTATGTCCTAAGTTGTGTTTATCATTACAGGAAAGCAAACCCATTTCAGGAAATTATGATTTCTTCTAATCCTAGGGTGGTGGGAACATGTGACCTTTGTGCACACTATACAATTTAAAACTTCATCATTTTTTGGATTTCTCCATTCCTCTTCTTCAGCATTCCTAGCCCTTAGGTGAATTGCTGCAGATATCACCCGCCTCCATTCATCTTTCTGGTTGGCCTTCTCTTTCCAGTTGGTGACACCAAGTGTTTGCAGGTCTGTCTGGACATTATCTCTCTATCGGATGTCTTCATTGGTTGTTTGAAAAAGTTATCTATATCAGTATATTTATAACATCTGTCTAAAAAAGATCTCCATATGCAACAAAAAGAAGGATACAAACACTGTTTTTTGGTCATGTAATGAGAAGAGAGGCACTGAAAAACATCATGACCCCTGGAAAGATCAGTGGAAGAGGTGTAGAGGCAGACCAAGAGAGATGATGCTGGATGGGCTGAAATGATGGCATGGAGGGATATCATCAAGAGAGCTGTTTCAGACAACCAGAGATCGTGATCTGTGGAGATACATGAGTGCTTACATGAGTTTGCAGGGCATATGATGATGATGAAGTCTAAAAAGAAAAAGCATAGGAAATCTATGGAAGTAACAGGAAATTAAAATAATACCAAAGTTAAAATTTGCAGCTCTAATGTCTAATCAGTACTGCTAAATAGAGCTGAACATGGAGAACAACTAAAACAATTACCAGTGAACTAGAAACATTCACTGACCGGTTCCTGTGCTAACTAGAGTGAATAAAATGGTATTACAGAGTCATGATGTAGAGATTTGTGAGAGAACTAAACAAATTTCAGTGGACCAGGAGGTGAAGAAAACATGCTGGTGTTAGATATGCCCCGGGAAACTTGAATCTATGGTGTTGGACATGCTGGTGACTACTGAATTCTCACGCAGCACGTGCAAGACATGTCCTTTCGTTGTCAAGACTTCTTCGGTCAGTTTCCCTAATGATTCTTTCCAAATTAGGGAACCTTTCACTTGTGAATCCTGCAACGTAATTTATGCAATTATCTGCAAACGATGCAGCAAGGCATACATTGGGGAAACTGGCAGGGAGCTAGCTGATCGTTTCCAGGAACACCTCTCCGATATTGACGAGAAAAACTTAAACAAATCCCTCTCCATTTTAATAGCTCTGACCACAGAGGTAAAGATGATATATCTGTCACAGCATTAAAATCTTGCTCTTGTGATGATACTAGCACCTCGCTTTGGAAAATCACCTCATCCACAGCCTAGGCGTTCTTAGTTCAGGTGGTATCAATATTCAACATAGTAAAGTAAAGTAAAGTTCCCTTTTCACGCCTTTCGGCACATCGGGCATATTTTTACAGACCATCAGCACTCTGTGGGTAATGTGGTCAGCATTACGCCGACTGTCTTTACTTTCCCAGGACAGCCCATCCTGGTACCCATTTTAGGCTGGGTCGACCTGCGACATCCCATACCACGATAAAAATCCACGCAGCCTGCAGTGGGTTTCGATCGCGGTATGCTGGCTTACGAGTCGGACTCGCAACGCCTTAGCCACGGACACATATAATAGTTCTACTCTCATCACATTTTAAATGTTAATTCTTTTATTTTATTATATGTCATATTATTTCTTTATTCTATCTCTTATTAGTATCAGTTATGTATCATTAACATTTGTATTTCTTTTATTCCCAGTATAATATTATATATTAACAATACTACTGTTTATTTTTTTGTTTACCCATATTTTTTAGCCATCGTTTATTTTATTTTATTTATTCCACATCATATTTTTTTCAATGTTGCTCATGTCATCACCCCTTAGAGATCTACATACGCTCCTCTCCTCATTGTTACGTTTGTGTAGTTCACTTATGTTTGAAAAATGCTGCCCGGCCGAAACGTTACGTTGTGTTGTTTTGTGCACGTTTTTCTGCTTCCCCATTTTGTTGAGCTTTTTAGTCTAATTTCTCTGGAATTTCTGGTGTTGGATAAATACATGTTGAGAAAATCTGAGAAAAGTGTAACTAGAACTGGACCCCCCGGGCATAGAAATACGTGCAGAGCAAAGAACACATGGAGGAGAGAGCTATGGGTGAAATTAACATATGGAGATAACATGGGGTGAGCTGCATGTGATAGCAAAAGATAGGGCAATAGCATAAGTTGGTTGAGAGATAGGGCAATAGCATGAGTTGGTGGAGAGATAGGGCAATAGCATGAGTTGGTTGAGAGATAGGGCAATAGCATGAGTTGGTTGAAAGATAGGGCAATAGCATGAGTTGGTGGAGAGATAGGGCAATAGCATGCGTTGTGTGACGTGACGCGTGGTTTAAATGTTTATAATGTTGAGTAGGGATGTCCCTCTCAACACATTCCTTCCACCAGATTAACCGAACTAAAATCTGAGCTATGTTGCTCTCAGATAAAGTCCTGGATACCCAAGAAAACAGCCATATTGGCTCGTTAAGTACTTTAACATTAGCTGAACTTGGTACCCACAAGAGAAGGCAAGGAATTTTAGATGTCTATATCATTATACTTAATGATTTATTAGACAGGGCAAATGATTCCTCCGTCATCTACCTTCTCCCGGTTTTATTATGAATAATTAAAGAATTATTATATTATTAATTGAGCCCCCACCAAATGGTATTCTATCCTAACAGTTTGATTAAACATGTAAGAACAGACATTTGGAATTACAAAAACTGATGCAGGATAAGACCATATATTTGATTTATTAACCTAGCAATCAGAGTATGACATTAGTCATCATTATTGTATAATAGATAGTGATGGTATGGTGATAATGAGGGGCTTCAGCTAGATAACTGAGCACCTAAGATTAGAGTGAATGGATAATGGTGGTGATACGTTTACATCCATAACACATGGTGAGACGTAACTTAAATATCATAGAACCTCTGACAGCCGTGGGTACTGTCAAGTTCGTCCACCTTTTCCTCCCAGTTCTCCTGGTCCTCCACCTCGGTCCCTGCTCGTCCTCCACCTCGTTCTCCACCTCGTTCTCCACCTCGTTCCCAGCTGGCCGAGTCTAACACAATGTAGTCTACTTCATGGACTGATCGTCACATGGGCGCTGTAATCATGGAAACAAAACACATACGTGTAGTATCTTGACTTACACTAAGAATACATGTATCAATTATTGTAACATATAATAATAAAGTATATCCCATCACTCCTCCTCATATTCACATTCTCTCCAGTCTAGTCTGAAGGTCTTTTGTCTTACATGGGCGTCACATATCCTGCCTTCCTCTCTCATGCTATGTCATGATAGTTGACTTTCTAAGTCTGTTGTCCGTCATCATTCAGACTTCGAATCATTGTTTTTACATCAACACGTGGGGCAGGTTATGTGCTGAAACTCCAACCATTTTATATGTGTATGCTGTCCTGAATATTATCTTTCAGTGACAGTAAATACGGTGCACCCATCATTGTTCCCCTGGGGTTATAAATCCCCTGTTCAGGTGAACACATTAAGTGAGCACATGGTGGGCACACGAAACGTAGCAGCATCCCTGCACATATTTGGGCATCATGGAAACAATATAATTACATTTCATTATAGCAAATGTCATTGTTCACATCTTATTTTATACACATGAAAACATACACTGACAAACATGTGACACAAACATACAGGAAATAGGAATAGTTTAGCAGTTCCCTAACTTGAGATACTGAATACTCACAAAGAACTATTTCAAGCAGAATGTGCAGACAAATTAGGAAAAGGTAGTATAGACTAAGCTTAACTCCCTAACCTAAGTATACAAGATTAATATTAATATTCACCTGGGAACTTTCCAGCACATGCCAAACACGACTCAACCAGTCAGAAAATACTTTTCCATGGTAGGTCTGAGTCTGTGGCCTGCTGGCGGCACTATGAGGTAAATCTACAATGCTTGCAGTATAAGTATCAATCTATTGTCCAAATTAAACTCCTCCCTTTACTGGGTTTTACCCAACCCTTAAGATGATGACTTAAGCCCCACCTCTGAGGTCACTATCAGATCAACTTGGCTAACCAGTGACCTGTCACTCACAGTGAACGGCCTTCAGTACGACCTTGACCAAGATAAAACATTCCTAATTGCCAAACACCTGTTCTCCCCAGAATTACACTGACGTGTTAAACTTTAAACTTCTCGTCGCCTCAATGTCTAGAGTCCGCTCAACTCGTGTAAGGTAATCTTTATGACCTACGGTCCAGCTCAGGTGTGATGCTAAGTTCCCCGTTCGCTGGCCTCTACAGTGTGGTCAGGAGATAACATTCTGACACTGGCATGAGAATAGAATTCCTAGCTACAGTGTAATTGCGTAACATTACCCAAGACTCAGTCGCTTTGTCTGGACTAAGGACTGGAAACATTTAAATCAATACGGTTTAAAGTAACATTTGGTTTAAGGGCATAGTCTCTTGTCTCTCAATAACCAGAAGAACTTATTACAAGTACTAACTTCTGGAATCACTGGGATCGTATCGTGACAAGTTGGTTGAAAGATAGGGCAATAGCATGAGTTGGTGGAGAGATAGGGCAATAGCATGAGTTGGTGGAGAGATAGGGCAATAGCATGAGTTGGTGGAGAGATAGGGCAATAGCATGAGTTGGTGGAGAGATAGGGCAATAGCATGAGTTGGTGGAGAGATAGGACAATAGCATGAGTTGGTTGAAAGATAGGGCAATGGCATGAGTTGGTTGAAAGATAGGGCAATAGCATGAGTTGGTGGAGAGATAGGGCAATAGCATGAGTTGGTGGAGAGATCGGGCAATAGCATGAGTTGGTGGAGAGATAGGGCAATAGCATGAGTTGGTTGAAAGATAGGGCAATAGCATGAGTTGTTGGAGAGATAGGGCAATAGCATGAGTTGGTTGAAAGATAGGGCAATAGCATGAGTTGGTGGAGAGATAGGGCAATAGCATGAGTTGGTTGAAAGATATGGCAATAGCATGAGTTGGTGGAGAGATAGGGCAATAGCATGAGTTGGTGGAGAGATAGGGCAATAGCATGAGTTGGTGGAGAGATAGGGCAATAGCATGAGTTGGTGGAGAGATAGGGCAATAGCATGAGTTGGTTGAAAGATAGGGCAATGGCATGAGTTGGTTGAAAGATAGGGCAATAGCATGAGTTGGTGGAGAGATAGGCCAATAGCATGAGTTGGTTAAAAGATAGGGCAATGGCATGAGTTGGTTGAAAGATAGGGCAATAGCATGAGTTGGTGGAGAGATAGGGCTATAGCATGAGTTGGTGGAGAGATAGGGCAATAGCATGAGTTGGTTGAGAGATAGGGTAATAGCATGAGTTGGTGGAAAGATAGGGCCATAGCATGTGTTGGTTGAAAGATAGGGCAATAGCATGAGTTGGTTGAATGATTGGGCAATAGCATGAGTTGGTGGAGAGATAGGGCAATAGCATGAGTTGGTGGAGAGATAGGGCAATAGCATGAGTTGGTTGAGAGATAGGGCAATAGCATGAGTTGGTTGAGAGATAGGGCAATAGCATGAGTTGGTGGAAAGATAGGGCAATAGCATGAGTTGGTGGAGAGATAGGGCAATAGCATGAGTTGGTTGAAAGATAGGGCAATAGCATGAGTTGGTGGAGAGATGGGGCAATAGCATGAGTTGGTTGAAAGATAGGGCAATAGCATGAGTTGGTGGAGAGATGGGGCAATAGCATGAGTTGGTTGAAAGATAGGGCAATAGCATGAGTTGGTGGAGAGATAGGTCAATAGCATGAGTTGGTGGAAAGATAGGGCAATAGCATGAGTTGGTTGAAAGATAGGGCAATAGCATGAGTTGGTTGAGAGATAGGGCAATAGCATGAGTTGGTGGAGAGATAGGGCAAAAGCATGAGTTGGTGGAAAGATAGGGCAATAGCATGAGTTGGTGGAGAGATTGGGCAATACCATGAGTTGGTTGAGAGATAGGGCAATAGCATGAGTTGGTTGAGAGATAAGGCAATAGCATGAGTTGGTGGAGAGATAGGGCAATAGCATGAGTTGGTGGAGAGATAGGGCAATAGCATGAGTTGGTTGAGAGCCTGTGCTCCATTTGGGAGATAAAGGGAAATATAATGATAAAGGAAAGGCAAGACGGACGTTTATCAGAATGCTACTGGCACCATTAGTATCGGAACTTTTCGCTGGCTGTTGAAGATGGGGACGGAGCACTTATGGGAATGCCCCGAGTGCTGTGATGTCGGTTCTTGAATCAAATCAAATCAAATGGGAGATAAAGGGCAGAAGAGGAAGAAGAAGAAATTAAAAAAATTAGTGGAATACAAGGGAAAGTCCACCGTGTACATATTCCAAGAGTTAGTTTATGAGAAACCACATATCTAAATTTATGGTGAAGTGATATGTGCATAAAACTTTACACCAGTTTTTGACTGAAAACAATAATAGAAACATTACTGTGAGTATAAGCTTTCATTTTCTAAAATGTTAACCAAAGCAAAATACAGTGGCTTAAATGAAACCTGTTAGTTTTTATGTTCAAGTATTAGACTTTGAATTTCAGACAAAGGCTATTAATTAGACTAATTTGGACCCAGAGCAATGTCTTCTGTTTGTTATTGTTCAAAACTTGTACTCCATAACCTTTTTTTTTTTTAGCATAAGTTTAAAAAATGGTTATTAGCAAAAATGTGGTCTAATTATTTCAGTTCTAAGATTGCTTATAAGCTTATCCATCTCATCTTATTCATAGAGGAGAAAAAAAGACTCTTAGAAGACTTGAAGAGGGGGAGGAGGATGTAACAAATTTTTTAATCTTTTAAATATGAAAACATTTGATAGTACAAATTGTTTTATTTAGTCCAAAACATAGTCAGTCTAAATCTTACAAGTGTGGCATATTTCATAACTGGTGTAATATTGTAAGTAACTTATAAAAACATACTGTGTTGAATGAGTTGCAGGTTCTCCAGGATGTGGTTGGACTGACTGGATGAATGGCCAGCAACCTAGTGATATGGGAGAGGAAGAAAGCATTTCCCAACTCCGTTCCCAGTACATGTTCTGTGATACAGCAGATATAACAGCTGTGGAATGCAGAGACTCATCTTCAAAGAAGACTGCAGAAGAGCTTGGGCAGGTATGGAAGCATTATAAAATATGTTCATAAATTTATACTAGCATTAGCTAACAGTCTGGAACATTAGTTATTGATGTTTTGTTAATTTGCATTACTTGGATTGTTGTCACATGTTTCTCTTACATTGTATTTAGTTATGCATTAAAGTACATTGTTTTTTTTTTAAAAGAAAGTCTCTGAGGCAAAATGGTGAAGCTGTTTGCCTTGTGGTCTGAAGATCGTGGGTTTATTTCATGGCTGTGTTGTTTGGTTGATGAGTGCAATTTCTACAGAGACTTCAAGGGATCATTGCTGATGCTGCAGTGTTTGTGTTTTATGCAATGTTCTTTACAGGTGGCTAGTTGTTCTGCTGAGAGAGACTGAGCCATATGGGATGAAGCCCGGTGCAATTAAGTCATTCCTTCCATCTTTTAACATTTTCTTGTTTGCAAGTTGTAGTGCATATTATTAAAATAATCATACATACTGGTGGTGTAAGATAGGGTTTTTGTGGAAAGTTGACTGGTAGTAAATAGGGTTGATAAACTGAATACTGTCAACAAGGCAGGTAGACTAAAAAAATCAAGTGATTTTTATGGATTGGAGAATTTGACGAGACTAGGGTCAGTCCCCTTAGATTACTTTCAGAGGTAGTTGTGAAGTTTGAGATATATGCGTTGTCTTATCATATCGTTTTATTGTCCATTTTTGTTTTTAAGTAATGGTATAAGTACAGACATAATACAGTCTTTAGGCTGGTTTTCTTCTTGGCTTCTAATGTTTACAGAAAAGTAATTACCTTGAAGGAACTATCATTTTTAAGACTGTTCAGGATTAACTCTTTCAGGCCCATGAATTTTGACAAACTTGGCCACATAATTCCCCTTTTCAAAAATGGCAAAAGGGGTGGTGTACAAAAAAAGGCAATAGTGAATGTAATATACTACTAATCTCTACAAAAGTATATATGTTTTTAAAGAGAAAAAATGTATACTTTGAATATCAGGATAAATATATGTTTAATAGACTTAATATAATATAATAAGTAGGAAAGAATTCAGCAGGTAATTTTACAAAAACAAATTTTTCACTTACCAAGGTTTTGCAGCCACAATAAATTTGAGAATAATACTTCAAAGTTTATTAAATTTCCTAACAAATTCTAAAGTTATGATAAGTTTTTGGGTTAGTTTAGCACTCAAGGGCTCCTAGATTTCAAAAAGTGCTGAGCAAAATTTTGGAAAAAAAAATGACAGTAAATGGGCCATTACACACACTATTTACAATTTAATATTTATACATTTGTATACACATTGAAGCTGCAATGATTTCAGTATAGCTCAGAAATAGTATAGTACTGTCTATATGGAGCACTTTCCTTCTCTTACACTCTAAATACGGTAGCAATGGAACATTCTCTGTGTAAACTTATCAGAATTGCTAGATTCCCAAATAGCTGATCGCTCAGTTGCCGCTGGTGTAAATTCACCACCAGAATCACTTTGGGAAAAATCTAAATTTTCATTATCATTATTAAAACTATAAACATCAGACTGAAACAATTTCTGAGTTTCGGCCATAGAAAGATGCATTTTGCGGCTGTACATGTTTTTGGAACACTGTTATCCATGGCACTCGAAAACTTAGAAAATGCATAGTTCAATGCTAGCTATCTATGAATCGGATCAATCTGCCATGCAGTCTGTCTTGGAACATGGAATATTATTCACAGGAAAAGGTTAGAGTAACCTTCCCTGAAGGCTTTAGAGGTAGTTCTGAACATTAGAAACAAGTACGGAGCGAAGCAATATGTGCGGACAAATGATCGACACTCACAGTGTTGTTTGGGCAAATTGGAACTTCTCAGTGAACACTCACAGCCTTGCTCTTGCTTTAGAGAGTTAAGTAAAGGGTTTTGTTTAAAATAAAATCTTATGTTAACATGTTCACTTGTTAATGCAAATTAAAATAATTAATCTAATATTATTAAAGAGTCATTAGTAGTAGTCAAGCTTTCAACGTCACTGAAAACGAGTCACCCAATAATTGTTTAATTTCTGTGACAATCAAAATCACACAAAAACCATTCGCTGACGCAGCTAACAAATAGTAAGCAAACAATCCAGAAACATTTGCACATAGTAAATGCATAATGCAGCCATGGAAGTAGGGTGGAGGGGGTGTGCCATCAGTAACAATCGCCACCCACATTTTTTAAATGTTGAACTTTTTTCATCAAATATCAGGTGAATGTCTTGTGTGACCTCAACTATAGTGGACTGAAATGCTTTGACTTTGATCAGCCGGATGGACATTGTGCAGACTATGAAGTCAGATTTCAGTGTGAAGCAAGTCACTGTCACATCACTTCTAGCACCTCATCAACTGTTAAAGGTAATGTAAGCTGTCTTTTTGAGTAGTACAGCTTCCATATCACAAGATATAACAATATCAGGGTTCATACTGTCACATATGATTGTTCCAATTTTAGTAAAGTCAGTTTTATGAACCACATACAGAAAATACTACCTTAGATTAAAGACGAACCAATAAAATAAAATATTATTATTGTTTCGGAACATTCTGGTTTTCAAAATAATAAGGAAAAGATAAGAAGTTATTTTATTTTATTTTAAAGCTAGTTGAAAAATATTTCATAGGCTATAAAAAGCATTTTAAAGTTATCCATTACCATTTGATTAAATCCATGGATTAAATTGGTATTGATGACAAACACATATAATATGCCCAAAAACAAACATATGCAGGGAACAAAAGCAACAAACAGTATGATGAAAAATGCACAAATAATCTATAATTGAAATAAAAAGAGTGTGACAAAAGTGTATATTATTAAACAAACAAAAAAGCAAGCAAACATTATTTTCTCTTGATGAATTAGATACACAAGTCTGTCTCAGATTTATCTATAAGTAAAGTAACATAGGCGGCGTCTGTGGCTAAGGCATTGCGAGTCCGACTCGTAAGCCAGCATACCGCGATCGAAACCCACTGCAGGCTGCGTGGATTTTTGTCGTGGTATGGGACGTCGCAGGTCGACCCAGCCTAAAATGGGTACCAGGATGGGCTGTCCTGGGAAAGTAAAGACAGCCGGCGTAATGCTGACCACCTTACCCACAGAGTGCTGATGGTCTGTAAAAATATGGGACGCTCTGCCCATATGCCCGATGCGCCAAAAGGCGTGAAAAGGGAACTTTACTTTTTTTTTTTTTACAAAGTAACATAGAGGACCTGTTTTTACTCTGTGAGGTCCTTTTGGGTATATGGAGCTATACCTGTATTTTTGTTGATCATTTGGCACATGATCACATGATCACAGTCAATATGATCACCCACGTTGTTGGTATTGTTGAATGGGAGAGGAAAAGGTTCAGGGTGTTTTTTTAAAGATGTTCATAAAGTGTTTGTGGAAATGATTGGCCTATTCCACTTATGTATACCATGCTGCATCTTTTACAAATGATTTCATTAATTGGGTTTTGGTACTCTAAAAGTAGAGTGAAGGTGTCTGCTAGCACCTAGAGGAAGTGCTGTATTGATTGAAAGCCTGCTTCTAACAAGTTTGTCTTTTGTCACACCTGAAGATCAACATGCTGTGTTATAAACATGAAAGAGGGAGACAGACAGACAGACAGACAGACAGACAGACAGACAGACAGACAGACAGACAGACAGGCAGGCAGGCAGGCAGGCAGGCAGGCAGGCAGGCAGGCAGGCAGGCAGGCAGGCAGGCAGGCAGGCAGGCAGGCAGGCAGGCAGGCAGGCAGGCAGGCAGGCAGACAGACAGACAGACAGACAGACAGACAGACAGACAGACAGACAGACAGACAGACAGACAGACAGACAGACAGACAGACAGACAGACAGACAGACAGACAGAGAGCAGTGTAGACATTCTCTATCCCTCTCTTTTTCTTAAACTCTTATGTTTAGTAAGTTATGTCAAGATATTTAACTGAAAACATAATTTTTCATGAAGAATAAATATTTATTTTGTGATGCTATAGAAATTGGGAAAATGTGAAGTGCAGTAAAATGTCAGTTTTACAGAACACAGTTATAATAATCAAACAAAGCACATGCAGTAAAATGTTGTCATTACCAAAGAATAAAGAAAACAAACTCACAGCTAAACAAAAAGGATGCTGAAATAAGTACACTACAACAATAAAACATTATGTGAACAAATCAAACAAAATAATAATAAACATTTACAGTTTCACAGCTTAGTTCTGTTCAGCTCATTTAATTAATTTACATAAAGCTGATTAGTGCAGATGAATGGTGCTTGAGTTTGACAGAAATTGACTAGACTTTAATATTTTCTTAAGTTTTTTAAAAATTGTTTTGAAAAATTACAATTTTTAATGCCATAGTCATAGATATATATATTTGAACAGTTCAGTTAGGGCTTTGTAGCCATTCTATGTTACTAATTGAGAATTATGCAGATTTTGTGTGTGTGTGGGACTCTGCTGATAGATAACATTCAGCAACCTGAACAGTCACATCACTCTCAACAGTCTCAGTAGTTTACCCTTTCTTTGTACTTTCTGTACATTTTGTACACATTTAAACTAAAAAGTGTAAATTCTTCACTGTCCATCCCCTCTGTTTTGGCAAATTTGTTACTTGAACATAATAAGTATTTTGGTATATAAATTTAATTTATAATTTCCAGCAGGTCATACCCCACCACCGACAGCTGGAATTGATAAGACTCCTTCAATTACAGTCAATGACAACACAAGACCAACTCCCAGCAAACCAGATACTCAGACTCCAAGACCATGCTCATCTGGATGGTCTGACTGGATTAACAGAGTGTCTCCATTAAATAGCTCAGGAGACAGCGAGACAATGACAGCAGAGGAGAAAACAGCTTTCTGTCCTGATGGAGATCTTACAGACATTGAGTGTATTGACTCAGAAACAGGTGATGACTGGTCAAGTCTGGCTGAGGCAACCTGTTCTTTAGATGATGGTCTGTTTTGTCAAAACCTGCCATTTGAAGGCATTCAGCCTTGCAGAGACTACAAGATTAGATACAAATGCAAATGTGCAGGTAAGCAAATTGATCACATAGTAAGTTATGTCAAGATATTTAACTGACAACATAATTTTTCATGAAGAATATATATTTATTTTGTGATGCTATAGAAATTGGGAAAATGTGAAGTGCAGTAAAATGTCAGTTTTACAGAACACACTTATAATAATCAAACAAAGCACATGCAGTAAAATGTTGTCATTACCAAAGAATAAAGAAAACAAACTCACAGCTAAACAAAAAGGATGCTGAAATAAGTACACTACAACAATAAAACATTATGTGAACAAATCAAACAAAAAAATAATAAACATTTACAGTTTCACAGCTTAGTTCTGTTCAGCTCATTTAATTAATTTGCATAAAGCTGATTAGTGCAGATGAATGGTGCTTGAGTTTGACAGAAATTGACTAGACTTTAATATTTTCTTAAGTTTTTTAAAAATCGTTTTCATAGTTATTATTTATATAAGAACATTTCAGTTTGGGCTTGGTAGCCATTCTATGCCACTATTTGAGAAGTATGCAGATTTTGTGTGTGTGTGGGACTCTGCTGATAGATAACATTCAGCAACCTGAACAGTCACATCACTCTCAACAGTCTCAGTAGTTTACCCTTTCTTTGTACTTTCTGTACATTTTGTACACGTTTAAACTAAAAAGTGTAAATTCTTCACTGTCCATCCCCTCTGTTTTGGCAAATTTGTTACTTGAACATAATAAGTATTTTGGTATATAAATTTAATTTATAACTTCCAGCAGGTCATACCCCACCACCGACAGCTGGAATTGATAAGACTCCTTCAATTACAGTCAATGACAACACAAGACCAACTCCCAGCAAATCAGAAACTCAGACTCCAAGACCATGCTCATCTGGATGGTCTGATTGGATTAACAGAGTGTCTCCATTAAATAGCTCAGGAGACAGCGAGACAATGACAGCAGAGGAGAAAACAGCTTTCTGTCCTGATGGAGATCTTACAGACATTGAGTGTATTGACTCAGAAACAGGTGATGACTGGTCAAGTCTGGCTGAGGCAACCTGTTCTTTAGATGATGGTCTGTTTTGTCAAAACCTGCCATTTGAAGGCATTCAGCCTTGCAGAGACTACAAGATTAGATACAAATGCAAATGTGCAGGTAAGCAAATTGATCACATAGTAAGTTATGTCAAGATATTTAACTGACAACATAATTTTTCATGAAGAATATATATTTATTTTGTGATGCTATAGAAATTGGGAAAATGTGAAGTGCAGTAAAATGTCAGTTTTACAGAACACACTTATAATAATCAAACAAGCACATGCAGTAAAATGTTGTCATTACCAAAGAATAAAGAAAACAAACTCACAGCTAAACAAAAAGGATGCTGAAATAAATACACTACAACAATAAAACATTATGTGAACACATCAAACAAAATAATAATAAACATTTACAGTTTCACAGCTTAGTTCTGTTCAGCTCATTTAATTAATATACATAAAGCTGATTAGTGCAGATGAATGGTGCTTGAGTTTGACAGAAATTGACTAGACTTTAATATTTTCTTAAGTTTTTTAAAAATCGTTTTCATAGTTATTATATATATGAACATTTCAGTTGGGGCTTGGTAGCAATTCTATGCCACTATTTGAGAAGTATGCAGATTATTTTTAGGATCTCGGCTAATAGATGACACTCAGCAACCTGATCAGTCACAATACTCTTAGAAGTCTACTCTTTCTTTGTACTTGTTGTACATTTTCTACACAACCATTGCTTTTTTTTTCTTTGTTTAGACTAAAAAGTAAATTCTGCACTGTCCATCCCCTCTGTTTCAGCAAGTTTGTTACTTGAACATTATAAGTATTTTGTTATATAAATTTAATTTATAACTTCCAGCAGGTCATACCCCACCACCGACAGCTGGAATTGATAAGACTCCTTCAATTACAGTCAATGACAACACAAGACCAACTCCCAGCAAACCAGATACTCAGACTCCAAGACCATGCTCATCTGGATGGTCTGACTGGATTAACAGAGTGTCTCCATTAAATAGCTCAGGAGACAGCGAGACAATGACAGCAGAGGAGAAATCATCTTTCTGTCCTGATGGAGATCTTACAGACATTGAGTGTATTGACTCAGAAACAGGTGATGACTGGTCAAGTCTGGCTGAGGCAACCTGTTCTTTAGATGATGGTCTGTTTTGTCAAAACCTGCCATTTGAAGGCATTCAGCCATGCAGAGACTACAAGATTAGATACAAATGCAAATGTGCAGGTAAGCAAATTGATCACATAGTAAGCTATGTCAAGATATTTAACTGACAACATAATTATTCGTGTAGAATAAATATTTATTTTGTGATGTTATAGAAATTGGGAAAATAAAAGTGCAGTAAAATGTCAGTTTTACAGAATACACTTACAATAATCAAACAAAGCACTGTCAGTAAAAAGCTGTCATTAGCAAAAAAATGAAGAAAACAACCTCACAGCTAAACAAAAAGGAAGCTGAAATAAATACATTACGGCAATAAAACATTTTGTAAACAAATCAAACGAAATAATAAAGATGAACATTTACAGTTTCACAGCTTATTACAGTTCAGCTAATTTAATTAAGAGCAAAATCGAGCGGACTCCGCTTGGGGCAACAAAGCCTGGCATATGATATCACAATGTCTTGTTTGAGAATGGAGGTGGAGGCAGTCACTGATGCCTTCAGCAGGCTTGAGAATCAGCTGTATACATGTGCTGTAACTGACTCACAGTTTGTTGAGAAAGGTGAAGACAGGCATGCTCCATGAAGACTGGCAAGCATCGCTTCCAAAGTCCCAGGTAGATAACGTCCTTTGGATATTTTATCCAGGTCATACTAGTTTGTTGGAAAATGAGCAGGTAAATAGACTGGCCAGTTTTGCACTACTTGGTGGTGAACTGATGTATGACAAGCTAGATGTTGTGAGTACCCTTTGGGAGCGAGTGAACAGTGCAGAGGCTCAAATAGATCATTACGGTCAGAGGAGAATGATACTGCAGGGAATCCAGCGCTTATGGGAGTATTCTGAGTGCTATGATGTTGATTCTTAATTTAACAGTCATTAAATTAATTTGTGTAATGCTGCACTGGTCGGATGTTTTGTTTGAGTTTGCAAGAGACTGAACTTGAATATTTTTCTAAGTGTTGATAAATTGCCATTATTCATGTGCATCTAAACAGTTCACTTGGGCTTTGCAGCAGTAGCAAGTTACTAAGTGAGAACTATGCTGACTTTAAAAAAAAAAATCTCTGCTTACAGATGATATTCAGCAAACTGAGCAGTCACAACACTCTCAACAATCTCTGCAGTCACAACAGACTCAGCCACCCAAACATTTGCAAGAGTCTAAAGTTAAGAGAAGTGTGAGTGACTCGGTTTTATCACCACCATCAGTCTCTGAACTTCAAATTCCAGGCAAGTCAAAACCTTTTTACATCTGTGGTGACACATTATTTTGTCTTAATTATTGATTATTACAGCTATGGACATGAGTCCTAAGTGATATTTCAGTCATTAGAAAGAGACATTGGAGTAACTGCATTTAAATGTTTCAGGATCATTCTTAGAATACAATGGACCAAGAAGAAGAAAAATACCACCATTACACAAGATCTTAATAATATTATATCCATTAGCCTAGTACCATGTTGTGTTTCTACATGTAACAGGCTAGCCCATGGAGCTACCTGACTGACCTGATCTGAATAATATTATATCCATTAGCCTAGTACCATGTTGTGTTTCTACATGTAACAGGCTAGCCCTTGGAGCTACCTGACTGACCTGATCTGAATAATATTATATCCATTAGCCTAGTACCATGTTGTGTTTCTACATGTAACAGGCTAGCCCTTGGAGCTACCTGACTGACCTGATCTGAATAATATTATATCCATTAGCCTAGTACCATGTTGTGTTTCTACATGAAACAGGCTAGCCCATGGAGCTACCTTGCACATGAAAAAGTAGGGTTTGAGAGTCTAGCTGCCTCAATGAAAGAGGCATTTTGAATTTATATATGACCATTTAGCAGTTCGGATCTGCAGCTGATGCTAGAACATCACTTCCTTTCACTATGATACTGGTCAGTCTGTAGTTTTTCTCAATGTCTCTTGGATGACTCATTACGAACAAAAACAACAAAATATCTGAAAATGTTTGTAAAAAACACCAATGTAGCAGAATTACACAGTAACATGTCTTCAAAGTCACCTGGAATGTTTCTGACATCACTAGTCTAGGAGTCACTTGTCCAAAGCATTTATGTCAAAGTCTCAATTCTTTTGGTCCCAACAATGCACAATGTGTGATGAGCTAATACCCATGTATTCCAGACAACACATGCTGTGATTCAGTTTTCATGAAATACATTTGACCTGTTATGTTCAATAAATTTTGTGTTATGTTCTAAGTTATATGCTGCCCCCATGAAAGTAATGCATGTATGCTTTATTCCTTGTGGCTAAGTACTCGTTAGAGATCTTTGATGAGATCTTACAGGATTGAAAGAATTAAGATAGCAAATGTTCCAATGGTGACAACAGGAACGATGCTTTAGAACATTCTAGAAGATTTGCTAGTAAGCCAGATTTGACACTTTTTGGTAGGTAACTGCCTACTAACCCACTAGAGGTCATTTGTAGACAGACTTGTCTGTTCACTAGCCTGCTAGAGGGAGTCAAACAACAAATACAATGTTCATATCAGGCAGTGTGACATTGACCTCCATGATGTACATATCACAGCTTGCTGATTAAATAGTTGATCATGATTGACACGTTGGCTGCCCCTGGTATGTATAGAATAGTTTTCTGGTGTTTCTATGAGTCATATAATGTGACAATGAAGGTTGTATCGCCATGACTATAAGACTCTTGCTTTAAGTAGCATGTTTTTGGTGATTTAAAATATTAATTTGTTTACTTATATTGTTTTTAAGATAAATCTTTGTTATTCACACAGAGGAATGTATTGAAGAAATGGGTCTCAAGTCCGGCCGCATACAAAACAGCATGATCACAGCATCAACTTACCGTGATGAGAATCATGGTCCACATCAAGCTAGGCTTGGCTCAGCCAGCAGCTGGCTGGCAGCAGTCAGTGACAAGCATCAGTACATACAGGTGAGATTTGGGGATGTTACTGCCAGCCCCATGAGCAATTCCTGAGGTCTTTAGTGTTTTGATTTGTTTCATTGACTTGGACTTCTTGATTGACAGGAGTTCCAGAAAATGTCCTCAGAAATAAAAGCAATGTAGATCTACAAAAATATAGGTCTAGCACCATATACCAGAAGCTTCAGTTGTGTGAACAGATTCCTTTCTTTATCCATTTAAAAAAAAAATTTTAGACAAGATATTGATGGAAATCACTTTTGAGAAATAAGAAGAATGGGAAAAAGTAGATGTTGGAATACAAAGATCAAAAATAGGATGAACCACCCAAAAGAAATGGGTATTAAACCAAGACAAGCATAGAGAAACTGGTTGCAGGGCCCCAAAAAAAAGTGTCACAAGATGGTTTTGTCACGTGTCTATATCAGGGTCACACTAAATTGTTCTGAAATGGTAAAATGTTGTGTTAATGGCTTGTATTGGTTTAGGCAGCAAAATCCGCTCTCAAACAACCATCCAACACAACTCAAGGGATGAGGTAACTCCAGTTATTGGCACCATAGTATTTTCAGGTCACAACTTGGCCAGACTTTCTCACCATTCGATTGCAACACAATAAATGAACACAATATCATATGAACCCAGTGAGTAGTATCTCTAGCATGATTGTGCTAATGCTGATGTTTGTGGATCTCTAGGTTGACGTTTTGGTCCCAGTTTACCTATCAGGAATAACAACACAAGGCCAACATGATGCAGCATCCTATGTCACATCATACAAGATTCAGCACAGTTCAGATGGTGTTAAATGGAGCCCATACAGAGAACACGGAATTGATAAAGTGAGAATGTCTTTATTGGTTTTATTGGTTAAGTCAGGTTGTTCTCAGCTTTGCTTTAGTTCATTTCTCTCAACCTGTTTGACTGGGGAAAGCCCCAGCCTTTTTTATCTTATTTTTCCCTCAGCTGATTTGACCATTTGTTTGCCAACCTGTTTGATCTCATGTTTACCTAAATCTGTTAGATCTCATATTTACCTTGAACTATTTGACCTCATGTTTACCTCAGCCTGTTTGATCTCATGTTAACCTAAACCTGTTTGACCTTATGTGTTCCATTAACTCTTTCAGGCCCATGAATTTTGACGGACTTGGGTTGCAATATTTCACTTAACAAAAATGGCAGAGGGGGTGTTGTAAAAAAAAAAAAAAAAGAGACTGAGGGCTTAATATATTTATAATACCGACAAAAGTATATATTTTGTTAAAGAGGAATGAATATACATTTGGAATCTGACGATGTGTTTTTGTTTAATGTTGTTATAGTTAGTAAAAAAAAATTATTCAGCAGGTTTTATATTTACAAAGACAAAATGTTAGGACAAAAATTGTTCACTTACTATAGTTTTGCAGCCACAAGAGCAGTGAATATCCAAATTTGAGAACAAAACTTCAAAGTGTGCCTAATTTCCTAACGGATCCAAAAGTTATAATAAATTTGTAAGTTAGGTTATGACTCAGAAGCTGTAGGTTCTCATAGAGCATTGGTCTCAACCTTCCTAATGCCATGGCCCAATTATACAGTTACTCATGTTGTGGTGACCCCCAGCCATAAAATTATTTTGTTGCTGCTTCATAAATTCAGTTAATACGTGTTTTCCGATGGTCTTTGGTGACCCCTGTGAAAGGGTCTTTCAAACCCCAATAGGTCGCGACCCACAAGTTGAGAACCGCTGTCACTGAGCATGCTGAACAAAATTTTGAAGAAAAATTGACCATTATGCACAAAATATTTACTTTGTACAGTTATATACAGACTGTAGTTGCAATGTATTCAATGCAGCGTACTGTTTTTAAACATTCCTCTAGGTGCAAATATGTTAGGCTATAATATCTTTTGCAAATTAGATTGGTCCTCTTGGCTTTAGCTTATCAGATCTGCTAGATTCTCTAACAGCTGACTGCTCAGCTGCCGCTCGTGCAAATTAACTTTCTGAGTCCTTTCCGAAAAATTCAAGTTTTCATTATTATAATCAGAATTTAAAATATCTGACAATTTCAGATCTTCAGCTGCAGAAAGATGCAGTTTATTGCCTGTGCTTGTGCACTAAACATTGGTGTCTGTGGTCAGTCGAAGACGTAATTAAAAAAAATGATGCTAGCTTCGTATTGAATAAATCTGCCCTAAATATCTGAACAAATACTTGTGAACAAGCTAAAAATGTTAGAGTGACCTTCCCTGATAACTCTGTTACAGTTGTTCCCAGCAAACAGAGACTCACAGACTCCAGTGACAAATATGTTCTACAAACTGGTCCGTGCCCGCTACTTGCGCATCAGTCCTCAAACATGGCAAGGAAGAATTGCTATGAGATTTGAAGTTCATGGGTGTTTACAAGAGTATGCACGTAAGTTAACACTTTCAATGCTGTTCTCCTTGATCTTTAGATATCCTCTACCAGAGATTCTAATGGTAATAGCTCTTAAATGTCCCATCATTTTACCACATTTATTCATTGCCAAGTGATCTGTGATCACTTCTAAGAATAATTATTGTTAAAACAAGCCTTCATAATTATTTTCTCTATTATTTGTGATTCTACTCCTTAAGTATACAAAATGACACCTGCTGCATTGTCCACAGTGAGTGTTAGAAAATGTGTAGTTTGTCTCATCAGTTGCTATATTCACAGACACAATCATGATTATTTAGTTGTCATCATTTTAAAGACATTTATTTTATCACTTAGGATACAAACATCAAGCATCTCATACACTGTGCTCTGTTTCCTATCTTTGACTGGGCTGGGGGGAAAAAGTTCTTTATCCCCAGTCTTTAACCCCTACAATCACCTTCTGATCCAAAGCTCTGGGTTTCAGATTTATATGACCCACTGAGGTCTAATCAGTCTATAATAATTTAGGCCTTCACAGCCATGCTTCAGTAGAATGTGAAAACATCTTATGGACACACAACCTTCTGTGTACCCCATTAGTTGCTAATGACCCACACCTCTGCATGGACTGAGAGGAAGCCATCTGTTTCTACATTCATTGCTTTTTGTGCCTGTAGAGCTAAAGCCTTGTTGCCAGATTCTTTTTTTCTTCACTACATTAAGCAGCCTTTGCCAGATGTCTTGTTCTTTTGCTAGTGCTACATCTTCTGCTGTGGTCTGGCTTCACTGGTGAGACTTTTTAAAAACATTTCTCTAATTTGGTGTTCCCTGTGGTTATCAGTGTTTTTTCCATGTCATTGTGACTAATGCTATAGTGCCAGATCTTTGCTTGGGCTGGTGAAAGGGCTTTTTAAGGGGTTCTTATTATGAATTCATTACATTAATCGGCAAAGTACCGAATCATTTGAAGTCTACTCCTTTCTATCTAAAGCTTTTGGATGTTTCTTTAACAAGCTTTGTATATACCTTTGTCCCCTAACTTAATCTTTTTTGTGTGTGCCAATAAAAATATATTTATTGTTAGATCTCTTTATGTTAATAGAATATTTATTTTCTTCTGAAATTTCTGAATTTTTTAAAAATCTGACTTTGTAATTTTTGATTCATTAATTTCTTAGGTTCTGTTGTGCCCACTTTCAATGAAAAGGTACACACAGAGAAACACATAACTCAGAAGAAATCACCACCACCTCTGAGTTTAGATATAGTTGGTAAGTAAAATAGAGTTTCAATATATAAAGATTTTTTAGGCGCTGAACAGAGTACTCTTGCTCTTAAATTGCTTATTTTGAAAACTGAAATACTATTATGAATGAAAATATTCTTTTGGAATATTTGTTTCATGGCCAGACTATTTTGTTTTGATAATGCATTACATTTTAAAATGTTTGTACAATTCAGTATTTGGAATAAATAATATATTTCTTATTCCTCTTTTTATTTATCCCCTTTTCAGCCTCCTTCTCCTCTTCTTTTCTTCTGTGTGTCTTCTTTTGTTTTCTCCTCATCCCCTGCTCCTACTCCTCCCCACTTAGTCTTGTAATGGCTGGGGTGGAGCAGGGTATTGAAGACACAGGCCTTCACATATCCTAAATCCTGACATTATGAGATGTGGCTAAAATTCTCTTTCACACTATTTTTTTCCTTCACAGAATAAAATGCACCTGATTAAATAAAACTAGAATGAAAACAGATCTATTTATAATGGTTACTGAGGACTAGATTTCAGACAACTGCATTGTAAGCCAGTGCATTGACTAATGTGCTACCATAGTGCACTACTTTAAAATTACAATAAGCAGTGACATTAACTGTTTGACATTCTTCTTCTTCTGCATTCCTCCAAAGATGTAATTGCGTTGTGACCGCTGACACATCCATCTTCTGCAGTCATTTTTTGACCTGGTTAACCTTCCTGGAACTAGTTAATATTATTTGAACCAGGGACGACATAATTGTTAGTTAACACACTAAACTGATATTAGGCCATTGTTGACCTATTGGAGTGACATGTGTGAATTATTTCCATTGATTACACCTTTCAGACAGAACTATCCTTATTAAAGTGTTAAACAGATATGTAAGAAGGCAGAGATGGTTAGTGAAATATTATATATGTTCTAATAGACACCTCAAAAATGTTTTAATGGCATGTACCTGGGCTTAATGGATTGACACGACTGCATATCACATGCAGCGGAAATAACTGTACGTACTCAGTTGAGAGGGTATCAAAATAACTGAGAAGTAGAATCAGTCAGCTTCACTTTATCACAATCATCAATGATAAATGAACTTGTGGGTAAAAAGCCTTCATTAGCATATGACGCTAATGGACAATGATGTGATCACAGACAAGATTACAAAAGATTAAATATTTATGAGTTGATAAATATCCATAATACATCTAAACTCTCAGCCATGAGTGATGCAGGAAGTTTGTACTGGACAGGATTAGCAGGTCACGGCAAGGGCCAATACTGAAATGTCTGTTTTAGATAAAGCTATGTTAAAGGTTTTCAGTCCTAACATTATTTCAGTTTTAACATACGCCAGCAACAGTTGGAGAACCACTAGAGACATGGAAGGACAGTTACATGCATTTGAAAACAAATGCCTGGGAAAAATTATGAAATAAAATGGGATGAATTCAAAAAGAGTGAAGAAATAAGAGAAATGCCTGGGCAACCACTAGGATCAACGGTTATAAGACACAGAAGATGGCTCTATATCCAGAAGAAGCCAGCAGAGAAAATCACAAACAGGCATAGAAATGAACAACAAAGGGATTGAGGGGTGAGGATGCCCTAAAACAAATGTTGATGTGGGAGGCCAAAGCTGCTGGACTGGATTGCATCCATGAAATTGAACAGGATAGATTGGAATAGACTGCAAGCCCTATGTGACATACAGTGGCACAGTGGTATAAGGAATTGTTGGAGATTAAGACCATTAAGGTCAGAACATTGTGCATTCTGTTTATGTTTGTTTTATATTTTCAGACAGCTGTGTTGAATGGGATGTGTGGGTTGACACATATCAACCAAGTTTAGTCAACAAAAATGACATTGAGCCTCTAAGCCATATTATCAATGCATCTCCTCACTGCAAAGATCCAATAAATATTGAATGTCAAACTGCAACACCTGACCATTCTGCTGCAAAGAGCACCGGACAAAAAGTAGTGTGCAATCTGTGGGATGGTTTATTCTGTAACAGTTCTCTGAGTGAAGAGCCTCTTTGTTTCAACTATGAAGTCCGACTAGGTTGTTTGAAGCAGACACCAGAATGTGGTATGTGTGAGACTCTATCCTATTGATGTGGTTATTCATAGATTTTTTATTTCTTTTTTTAGAAGATAAATATGCCGACTTCAAAAACAGTTAAATACCGAGATCCTGGAAAGACTACGAATAAAAAGGGAATAACTGAAAAAAATTTAAAGAAAAAAAAATAAACAGTGACAATTGATACATTTTGGCCACATGAAAAGACGTAACACTCTTTAAAAAAACATTTTGGAGGGAACAGCAGCTATAAGAATTAACAACTGTTTAGGTACATTTAAGTTCATAAAGAGGGGCGTACAACAAGGATGTGTACTATCACTTGATTTATTTTCACTATACAGTGAATATATAATGAGATCTTTAATTGATATGCCCAGAATTGTGGTTGGTGGGCACAATATAAACAATTCATGTTATGCTGATACACAGTCTTGATAGCAACAAGTCAAAAAGAACTACAGGAAATGATACAAAGTGGTAGAAAGTGGAAGAATGAGCCTCAGTTTGAATAATGGGAAGACAGAAGTAATGGTGGTATCAAAGAAAAGAATTATTCATAAATGTGTAATAACAGTCTATGGTGTTATTTTAGGACAAGTAAAGAAATGTAAGTATCTCGGCACAGGGGTAACATCAGATGGAAGATGTATAACTGAGTTGAGAAACAGAATCATCATAATCAGTTCTGTTTATGCCTAGTGGCACATTAGATTTCAGAGAGGACTTTCCATGCTTTCCTGTCCTGTGCAATCATCAGTGCAGTTATTCATGTCAGAGATGCTGCACTCAGGTCACTTTCCATCGTTCAGGCAAAAACTGCATTTTATAAAATTAAGAACATCTTATACAATATATCTCTGTCATTGAAGGTCAGAAAAAACATCAGAAGGAGACAGTCATTATTTTCGGCCATGTTATGAGAAGAGAGAAAATGGAACCTGTTGTGATCACTGAAAGGATCTGTAGAAAGAGGGATAGAGGAAGACAACGAGAGAAGATTCTTTACAGTCTTGTTGCATGAGGCATGGAGGTGTGTCATCACACGAACTGATGCATGCTGCAGAAGATCGCGGATTATGGAGAGGCATGATCGCCCACACCAGTCAGCTAGACACCTGATGATGATGATACTGAAGGGGAAGGACAAAAGAGCAAAAGGTAGACAACATCAAGAAATGGATGAACAGCGGTGTGAGAGAGTGTACCACCAAGACAATAGGTAAAGCATGTTGGAGAACCTTTGCAGTCAACCCTCAATGTGGAGATGTCACTGCCTGATTGATGATGACTCATGTTTTCATAGATGAGTCAGCACGGTGGGGGGGGGGGGGGGTGTGGTTAACATCATCCCAGCCACCTTTGCATTCTAGGACTTTACCTGGGATCCATTTTAGGCTGGATACATCTGGGAGTCAATTGTGAAAAACAAATTCTGATTAGATGCAGATTCAAACCCAGATGTTTTAATCCAGCAGGAGAGTGTCAAGCCAGCTACACTATGACTTATTAGGATCAACGGCTATCCTCCGAAAAACGGTCCGAAATGATCAAGGCTAAAAAAATACCCTAACAGGCCCCCCCCTCTCCCTCTCCCACACTGCTATGCCCCCGGGGATGGGGGGGGGTGTGCTAAACTAGATGGCTGGGACTCACGAGCAAATAAAATGGAGGAAGCTACAGGGGTACTTGGAGTGAGGGAGAAACAAATTCTTTTAAAATAATGCATTTCCACTTTTTTTATTACATTTACATGTACTGGTGTGTGCAGTTTCAGGAATACCAAGATCAGGAGGAACTGTCAGATCAGACATTCAGCCATCCAAGTTGTGTTATCCTGAAGTTGATGCCTCTCATTGCCCAAGATGTGCTGAGGGATATTACTGTGATGGATTTAAATGTGTACTCAGGAGTGAATGTCCTTGCAAGATAGACAATAAAATACTTCGGGTAAGTGGAATAGTGAAGGTAAAGTTTTGTCTGAACTGACACAAGACAATGTTGTTAGGATAAGTGAAAGAGAGATGCGGAAATTTCACATGTTGATAAATATAAACCCCCCACCCCCCCTAAAAAGTTTTAAAATAAAAAACAACTTTGGGTGAGTTTAAGAGCGAAGATTAAATAATTTCTGAACTGACAAAAAAAGAAATAATTTATGAACTTACTGAAGATGAAATAGGATAAATGGGAGAGAGATGGTAAATTCTGTATGTTGTTTAACCCTTTCGCTGCTGCGAAAAATTGTACACCTAAAATAACAACTCTTTGAAGGCGTATGGTTGACCTTTGCGCTGACAAGTCAGACACGCTATGGCTAAGCCATGAAAACTTATTTACAAAAAGAAAACTTCTACAAACTTACAAAGCAAGCACAAATCACTTTAGTAAGCAAATAAATGGTTTTTATTATTATTATTATTAATATCTTTTTGTGTGAAATATTTCAAAACAAGGTGCAACACACAATGCCAAATTACAGTCCTTGCACATGTATCTGGTTTCTCATCATTTTTTTTTGATTTTTGCGCATACCACACACTTTCTTGTTGGAAATTTCTTCTGTGATGTTAAAAACTCTATTATCGAAGGGAAATGCCTTTGTACTAAACGAAGTGGCAGATCTTCACTTTTTTGTCCTCCTACACTTTTTCTTTTTTCCTTACAATATTTCTGTAGAATTTCTTTTAGTATCATTAAGTGAAATTCGGTAACAGGAGTGTTTTTCCCCACAAATGCACAGTACACTAACCACGCTTCACAAAGGAACAGGATAACATGTAACACATCTAAATCTACCTGAACGCACATGACAGGATGTTTAATTAATTAATACTTCGGTGATCTGTTGCCGAAAGTGCTAAGAGCTTAAATTTAGAATTTACATTTAAAATAATTTTTTTTTTTTTAACGGCATGTAGAGGTTGAAGGCAGGACCTTTCAGTTGTAAAACAAAACTCCATTAATTCTTCATTAACTTTAATAAACCAGTTTTCTTGTTATTTTGTATTTAAAAGAAAAAAGTAGACTAACGCAAAAGCAGAAATATATTTCAGGGCAAAAAATATACTGTTCACCAACCATGCTTCTATGGTAACAAAGCAACAGGATAACGTAAAATGCATCTAAATACACCTAAACGAACGTGATGTGTGTTTTCATTGTATGTAAATGTGTCAGTTTGATCAGATTTAGGTAATGTATATTGCCATTACACCCCCCCCCCCCCCCCCTCACCCAAGAATTACAGTTCTTAGCAATCTGTAAGAAAAGTTGAAGACAAGTTAGCTCGTCCTTAGCAGTGATGGCACAGAAAAAGGAACCTTAGCAGTCTACCGGGCAGACAAATTATCTCGTCCATAGCAGCAAAAGGGTTAAAGTGGCAGGAAATAAATAGACAGTCATGTATTTGGTCAACTAAAAAAAATATGATATCTGTAATTGCTTTGAGGTTGAGAGTGGAAAGATAAGAATGTATTAAACTTATAACCACATGTAGTAATGTTGTCACACCCATGTTTAAACCCTTAGTATGTCATAGGTATATTAAACAACCCACCCACACTGGACAACAGGTTATTTCATAATCATTTTGTGGTGCCCTAACATTACTGTGCTATATGACTGAACTGGGTTTCTGGGATTTATACCAGCTTGATTCTCATCTTTAAGATGTTATTCCTACAGACTGCAGTCCTAGAGTGGGGAAAAACACTTAATGTTAAGCATTTACTTGAATTCTACTGAAAGTCTGAGTATTGTATTTTGTTCCAGCCTGGTGGAGTGACACGCATTTCAACCTGTGAAACTTGCCAGTGCCTTGCAGGTGAAGTAATCTGCATGCCAAAAATATGTCCAGCCTGCTCTCTTGTAAGTTTTGACCTGTTTAGTCATCTTTTACAGTTGGTTAATTTAGACATGCTAGTAAGTTTTGAGAAAACGGGAAAACATTATAACTAGAATGTCTTTGCATTGGAGCCCACAGGGGCATATGAATAAAGGAAGGCTAAAAAATGCATAGAGAAGGGAGCTGGAGAATGAAGTTAGAAAGATGGGAAGGACATGGGGAGAACTGCGTGCGATAGCAAAGGATAAAACGTGTGGCCCAGAATGGGGAAATGGAGAGGAAAGAAAATAGCTCTCAGCTAACAGTGTCTGTCATATCCCCCCCCCCCCTTTCCACTCGACACAGTCATATCTCCCTCTCCAAAGGATTGAAAAATCATCCATGACGAAATTATTAAAATATAAATAGTTAGAAATGAAAACAATAAAATAATATTTTAAGCTCTCTCAGCTAACTGTGTCTGGCATAACCCCTCACCCCCCACCCCCCGCTCCCCCAATCATATTTCCCTCCCCGAAGGATTGAAAATCATCCATGGTGAAATTATTAAAATGGAAATAGTTGAGAAACGAGAACTTCAAAATAATATTTTAAGCTCTCTCAGCTAACTGTATCTGGCATAACCCCCCCCCCCCCCCCCCCCTTTCCCCTTTTTCCACCAATCATATCTCCCTCTCCGTCATCACCTGGCGAAATTATAAAAATAGAAATAGTTAGAAATGAAAACAATAAAATAATATTTTAAGCTCTCTCAGCTAACTGTGTCTGGCATAACCCCTCACCCCCACCCCCCCAATCATATCTCCCTCCCCGAAGGATTGAAAATCATCCATGGTGAAATTATTAAAATGGAAGTAGTTGAGAAATGAGAATTTTAAAATAATATTTTAAGCCCTCTCAGCTAACTGTGTCTGGCATTATCACCCCACCCCCCACCCCAACAATCATATCTCCCTCTCTGAAGGATTGAAAAATCATCACCTGGCGAAATAATTGAAATAAAAATAGTTAAGAAATGAGAACTTAAAAATAATATTTTAAACTCTCTCAGCTAACTGTGTCTGGCATAACCAACCTCCCCCCCTCCCCCAATCATATCATCTTCTCCGAAGGATGGGAAAGTCACCATGTAACGAAATATTGTAACTAAATTGAGCTTTCTATAAATAAACAGAGGGGGGAACCATTTGAGGCCGTTAAATATTATGAATTAATCAAGTAACAGAAAGTATTGTGAACGGCACTCATAGAAAGAAGTAGAAAGATAGAAGAACACACTAGACAACATACTTCTTTCTATGAGTGCCGTTCACAATACTTTCTGTTACTTGATTAAATTGAGCTTTGCATACCTGTCCACCCAGACTTAAATAGGTAGCATTAACTTGTACAGAAAATTTAATGTAGCCAGTGTAACAGCTACCTCATCACCCATCCAGTACCAGTACTACTGCAACAACAACCACCACCACCATCACAACAACAACAAAAACTGTCAATACAGTCTGTGTAGGTCGGTGTAGAAAAGAGGAGTTAGCGCCACATGCTATCGCTACGGACTATTCAGTTTGATTTTGCCCCGGATATAGTGAAAAAAACTTCATCACGTAACCAGTGATGGAACCCACAGTGAAAAGTACACTATACTCACGAATAGCGGAGAAAAATACCCTGCACCCGCCATCTCTCCCTCTCCGAGGGAACGATTTTTAACTGACCTTGGCATCTGTGTCCACCCAAACTAAATGGACTGTAAGCCGTCTTAGTTAACAGTTTCTGTCATCGCCAAATAGTTTTTGATCGAGAAGCCACGCGGGGAGGCTAATTAGGACTTAACTGACATCGGATGTCTTTGGGCGAAAGGCGCATATATCGCAGCCTAGCTGAAAACCACAACACAACGTGGCAACCACCCTGTTAAGGGAAAAAGAACAATTATCAACCAGCGGGGAATTGAACACCGGTCACCCGTGTGAAGGATGACATACTTACAACTATACTACCGACGACTGAAGAGTTTTTGGTCAGATATCACAGCCTAGCTGTAAACCACAATGTGCCAACGGCCCTCTCAAGGACGAACAAAGATTACCAGTGACATGACCATTGAGCATCACATCGCCGCTGTCGCAGGCTAACTATAAACCCCAAAACCGAAAAAGGCGTAGATATCGCAGCCTAGCCATAAACCACAATACAGCGTGCCAGCTGCCCAGTTAGGGACTAAAAAAACTGTATCACCTAGCGGGGAATCGAACGCGGGTCACCTGCATGATAGGCAGAATAGCTACCAACTACGCTACCAAACACTCAAGCAAATAGTGGAAATGAAATTATATAATAATGCAAAGTTCTATAAGAGCTCAGCCATCTTCTTCTTCTTCTTCTTCTCTTCCACCTTGTACCTCATCGAAGTGTCGGGGGGAGATGTAATGTTCGTTGATGAGCTCTGTCAAGAGCACTATTAAGACTGATGTTCATTTCTGTAAGGCTGTTCTTAATGCCATCACTCCATCTTTTCCGAGGTCTTCCACTCGCTTTATACCCGTTGTAACGTTTTAGTGTGGCTCGCTGTGGCAGATAGTACCAGGGCATTCTTGTTAGGTGTCCAAACCATTTCATTTGTTGTTCTTTGATGACCTGTAAGACTGGCTTTATTCCTAGCATTCGTCTGATTTCATGATTTTGTATTCTGTCTTTCCTTGAAACTCCTGCAGCTCTTCTAAGGCATTTCATCTCTGTTGTCACAATTTTACGTTCATTGGAGGATGTAAGTGTCCACGTTTGGCACTGATAGCATAGTATTGGCCAAAAAATAGTTCTGATAAGATTCACTTTAGTACTCTGAGGTATCTGCTTGTGTGTCAACAGGGGAGATAGTTGGCCCATTACTTGATTAGCTTTGGCACATCTGGAGCTAATTTCTCTGTCCAGTTTTCCGTCTGAAGTAAAAATTGCTCCCAAATACTTAAATTCCTCTGTTTGTCTCAGGGTGTTGTTTTTTAATTTAATTTCTAAATTGTCTTTATGTCTTCCTATCATCATTGTCTCTGTCTTCGTAGTGTTTATTTTCATATTATATTCCTCCCCTTTGTTACTAATTTGATTTAGGTGGTTCTGTAGGCATTCCATATTTTCTGCTATTAGTACCTGGTCGTCGGCGAAAAGTAATTCTGTTATATCTTCTTCCTGATTAAAGTCTGTTTCGCTACATATGGCGTCCATGTATGTTATGAAAAGAAGCGGCGATAGTACACAGCCCTGACGCACACCAGAGTTCACTATAAAAGTTCTAGACAACCCTGCCTTTGATCTTATGCAGCATTCACTACGTGTGTACAGGCTTTTGCAAATATTAATGAGATGATTGCTGATTCCTTTTTTCCCCATACATTCCCACAACATATTCCTGTCGACTCTATCGAAGGCTTTTTCTTGGTCTATGAATGTCAACAAACATGTCTTATCATGTTCTATTGCCCTCTCTGATAGTTGTCTCAATGTATAAATGGCATCTGTGCAACTTCTGTTTCGTCGAAAGCCCATCTGTGCTTCTGAAAGTTGATACTCTATCAATGGTCTCAGCCTTTTTTCGATGATCTTAGCATACATTTTCCCAGTGTGACTGAGAAGTGATATTCTTCTGTAAAATCTAAAATTTGATTAGCAGTTTGCCAATCTGATGGTGTTTCTTGAGCTCAGCCATCAAATGAACTAAAAAAAACAAATCCGGGCCGGCAACGAAACAAATAATGATTTGACCGTTGCTGGAGCTACGCCGTTCGGGGTTTGTGCAATTTTCTGACAAAAAATCACGCTTGGAGTCGAAGGCAACGTGTGCAAATTTGAAAGCAATCGGCTCAGTAGTTTCTGAGTTTTTAGCTAACAACATCGGAAAATTACCATTTTTATTAAAATGTATATATATTTATATACATATCTGTGATTCCTGGACAATCGGTGGGCAGGCCAAACAATTTATTGAGGCCTCAGAGATGTGGTTTTACAGAAGAATGCTAAGAATACCTTGGACAGCCATAAAGAGCAACCAAGAGGTTTTGAAAGAGGCGGGAGCCCGAAGACACCCCTCACCCCCTCGCTACACACACACATGCGCCCCCCTTTTCACAGACTCAAAAGTGGTCTTCTTCTTCTTCTGCATGTATCCAAAGATGCAATTGTGTTGTGTCCGTTTACAGTGTGGCTGCGATATTTGCACCTTTCGGCTAACACATCTGACTTCTGTGGGCATTTGTTGACCGGGCTGACCTTCCCGGTTCAAAAGTGATCTAAAATTTGATTAGATTTCTTGTTCTCTCCAGGGAAAGGCAGAACTAAACAGTAGTAGTTGTATGTGTCAGTGTGAGCAGTGCAGCTCCATGGAGTTCCAGTGTGCAACAGGCTTATGCATTCCAAGAAGCAGACGGTGTGATGGAATTATTGACTGTGCCAATGATGAAGATGGATGCTGTATGTTCCTTTCCTTACTTTTTCTCAAATTCATATACATAAATCATTCATTACTATATAGCATGCATGCCTAATCTCCAATTTAGTTTATGCAAAGTAATTAGAAAATATATTTTTCTCCATTATTAAGTATTTTCTCCATTATTAAGTATTATCTTATCCTTAAATTCTAGTGGAGTATACAATTGCAAGGAAATCATTACAAACCTGGCTCCCACCTGGCAGCATGTGATTTTATTTCTGTAGATGTGTTTCTTGTTGACTAACATCAGTATGTCAAGTACAGGACCACTTTTACACTGTTGTTCCTAATGAGTTGGTCAGCATCATGCCAGGATTTTTCTCGCTAGGGGATAAATTAGTTTAGGAGCTTTGTTTATTTGATAAAAATTTACCCTGAGATGGCGGAGCCACCGTGGTGTAGCAGCTAGGTGCTGACTTAAGGGGCATAAAGGTCAGAGATTCAAATCCACATCAAGCCAGATTTGTTTCAAAAATGACCTTGATTGACTCAGGCTAATAAAATGGCTACCAGGTAAAGTTTTGGAAAGTAAAGGTGACTGGTGGGACATTGACCATATCATCAGCCAAGTGTCAATTGGTCTTTAAAAAAAAAAGGTAGGTCTAGCATAAAGGGAATGAGAGAGGATTCTTTTACTTTTACTCTAATATGGATCCATACCAAGTGCGCTATACTGGTTCCCACCGATGTGAAATTGTGCCTTATTTACTAATGCCGACCTGCTCTAAGGATTTCAAAACATGTTTTGAGAATGTGTATGTCTGTTACTGTTAATGTTTTTTGCATGTTAACACACACACGACACGAGTGTGTACACACACACACACACACACACACACACACACACACACACACACACACACACACACACACCCACCCACCCACCCACCCACCCACCCACCCACCCACCCACCCCCACCAGTCCCCACCCACCCACCCACCCACCCACCCACCCACCCACCCACACACACACACACACACACACACACACACACACACACACACACACACACACACTATATATATATATATATATATATATATATATATATATATATATATATATATATATATATATATATATATATATATATATATATATATATATATATATATATATATATATATATATATATGGTGATCTGATGATCTTAGTTTCAGCTTCATAGCAAACAGGTTACCCCATAGTTGCTCAGCTCCTATAAAACAAAAAATAAACTCAGAATGTCCATCATTGTCCCTTATGGAAACACTGACACAGACTGAAGGCTCAGCATATCCAATAGCACACACACTGTGAAAGCAGTAGTGTATTTGTAATCTAACATCAACATCTATGGGACATTATCAATTAACATGGCAAAGTCCACAGTCAAGGAGCATGTATCAAGGTAACAATATCGTATCTCCATCTTTCACAAAATATGCTCATACTGGGGTAACTATGCTGCTATAAACATCTATAATATGTGATTTGAAACTATGTAATGTAAGTCTTTTTGTTACTATTGCACAGCTTGTTTGTGTCATGTAGTAATGATAGTAATACATTTATAATAGGTTGACTGAAAAAACAAAACAATAATGATACTCCACGGCTATGTAGAGGGGAAGAGGAGAATGTGTAAACAGGAAGTCCATTGCATTTAAATGACAGACATGGATGGAACTGATCAGATAGTCAACAGCAACTGGTGACTCAACAATATTCAGTGTTAAAAGACAATGATGATGAATATGGTATTTGATCTATGACAATATATAATTACAGTATTTCTATAGTGACATATTTGGCTGGTACATCTCTAGATAATGAAGGAAACGTGTTAGGCCTACACCTGATTCAATGTGTAGTTTGTTGCTGATATCTTTGGTTTGTCTCTTGATGTTATGTTTAGTATAACATTTTAAGTTACAATTTTACAGCATCCATTCCTCTGCTCAAAATACCAGTAGGCTGGGTGAAACGAGAAGTCGCTAACATTACTGGTAAGTTTACTCATTCAGTTTCAGGCTACAGTTTTTGTTTCTTGCTAACTCCATACATAATATATGTTTCTTAGTGTCTTGTATTCTATCCAGTTATTATATTGGCAGATTCAATAAGTTACAACTAGTATTTGACTCCTCATTTGTTTAAATTCATTGTAAAGTCTACTGTAACATTTGGGCTTCATTTCCTGATCATTTCTCCTTTCATTTTTACCCATTTTCTCCAATTCAGCTAACAGCAAAAAACATTAAAATGTGTGCACCAAAAGAGTTGAGACAAAAACTGACTATTTCTTTAGCATGTGTGTTTTGTTTGGATGCAGTTGTCAAATTTCTAGTTGTATACAGTCAATAGCTTGTGATAATCATTATGTTGAAGAAACCAACAATGTTTTATGTGTAAGAAACAGCTTTAATAGTAACTCAGTTTCAGTGTATCTTAATAGATTTTAATAGAATAGCTCTAGAAGATCTTTGAAATAAAATTTTTAAAAATATGAAATTTTCTATATGTACCTCTTATGTCATATAAGTTCTTCTTCTTCTTCTTCTTTCATTTGCTTGAAATATATTATCTAAATCTGCAATGTTGTCTCTAGTATGAACTTCAATCATATCAATGTAGCAGTTGGGAGAAAAACATGAAGGAAAACTAAAACTAATAATAATAAACAATAAAATATTTTTTCACAGCTCAACCCAGCCTAAAATGGGTACCAGGATGGCCTGTCTTGGGGAAGTAAAGACAGCTGGCAAAATGCTGACCACATTACCCACCTAGTGCAGATGGTCTGTAAAAATATGGCCCTCTTCCTGTATACCCATACACCTAAAGGCATGAAATTTGATCTTTACTTTTACTTTACTTTTTACTTATAAGCATATATTAACAGGTATTTGGGCCAGATAAAATAACATGAATAATAATATCAATAACTTCAGTAATATCAATGTAGCCGCTGAGAGCAAAACATGAAGAAAAACTGAAACTAATAATAATAAACTATAAACATATGTTAACTAGTATTCGTGCCGGATAAAATAACATGTATGATTACACAGCCTTCACATGTAATCAAGAAACTGTATTGTTACTGACACCATAGACAACTGCCACAGTGTGATGTGCAAGGAACTGAAGCAGCCAGTACTGAGAGAAGGACAAACAGCTATACTGCAAAGAACACCAGATGGATGCTGCCTGGAGTATGTGTTGTGTGACAAGAGCCTGTGTCCTTCTCAGCCCACACAGTGCTCCGCTCCCATGGCTCTGCAGAAACTGGAGACAAACAATACATGTTGCGTGCTATCCCAGTGTGGTAAATGTTATTTCTACATTTGATCAGTTTAGCAACAAATAAATATCAAGTTCATAATTGGCATGTTCCCTTCAGAAATCTGGTATTTCCTTTCATGTAAAAACTGAAGACTTTTCATCATTTCATCTTTCATTTCTGGAATATTATAAGGAAGTACATTAATCATTGGGGAGCCACCATGGTGTAGTGGCTAGACTCTCGCTGCGGATTAAAAGGTCACAGGTTAGGGTCTTGGCAGAGCTGGGCTTTCTTTCGACAATGACCTTGGCTCTCAGGTCGACAAAAACTTGAGTGGGTGCCAGGTATAGTCCTCGGAGTTAAAGGTGGCTGTTGATCACATCACTCACTAAGTGCTGACTAGCCTATAAAATATAGTTCTAGCGCTATATGCCCAGTAGCCTGAAATTGTGGTATTGGTCCTTTACTTTACTTACATTATTTATTTAAATATCTATATGACCAACACTACAAAGAACTAAATTAGTTGCTTTATTATAACACTCCTGTATAAATCTTTCCCCTGTGCAAGATAACATGTGAAATAATGACAGTATTATAACCTGTATACTGCTACTTTTTTAAGAGAAATAATCTGGTTGTTCAGACATGCTGAAGAGGAGCATATTTTTATTTAAGTATCCAGAAACTATAAAAACAATAAGCAGATAAAGTATATTTTGAAAATATATCTAAGGCTTTTATTGTTGATGTTTCCTCTCATCTAGCAACCACAAGAGCTGTTGATAGTAAGGTACCCTATTTGTAACATCAACCAAAGGGAAGGACAAGAGTCAATAGAGACTAGAACCAGACCCACAGCTTGTCTAGTTCCAGCTTTCCCCAATCAAAACCAAAAAAAACAAAGGATTTCCTGTGTTTCCCATATCCAAAGTAACAATATTCCAAGCAACTACAACATCAAGCAAATGAAAGCTAATATTATGGACCATCAGAATTAGATTGAGATAAACATTAGATATTCATTTCATTGCAAAATCTGTGCACTTCTCCTAATACCAAAAAAGTTGTATCTTAAAGCTGACTGTAACAGTAAAGTGGATATTTGCAGTTATAGCTTTGAGCATCATCCTTTCAGAAAATATTTCAAAAGCAAAACCCCCAAAAAAATGTCAGTACCCTATCAGAAAGCCTAACACTGTAAGATAGTGATGACTTAATAACTACTTGGAAACCACAGGGTCAAGTATTTGGAAAACCTGTACCAGCAAAAGTTTTAGGCGTACCATACAAATACATGTGTGTTTGGGTACTGACAAAGCCAGATTTGTTCAGATATGACCTTGGCTCCCAGACTGGCACAGCCTTGAGTGGGTATAGTTCTGGGAGGTAAAGGTGGCCAGCGTGATGCCGATTGGTCTATAAAAATTTAGATCTAGCCCTATATGCCCAATGACTGACAATGTGGAAAAAAGTCCTTACTTACTTATAAAAACATAATTGTTATCACAGTGAGGAGCATCTGGCCAAATGGTTAGAATGCTGGGCTCTCATGCAGGAGACCAGTGTTCAAATCCTGGGTAAGGCTGGGGATTTTTTCTGTCGGGGGCAAAATAAAATTCTCACCTGCACAGTCGTGGCGACAGCACTGGCCATGCGGCTCTAAATCCTCAGGCTCAAAGAACCCCCCTGCATACACGGTAAAAGTTGTATATAGAGGCAGTAATTAGCAGTTATCACATTTGTACAGTCAGAAAGTGAAAAAAATTAATGGGAAAGTATCGGTAGGCTCACATTCTTCTTCTGCCTTTCTATCCCCCAATGGAGCATAGGCCCTCAACCAACTCACGCCAAGTCGTTCTATCCTTCGCCATTGCATGGAGCTCTCCCCATGTCCTCCCAATCTTTCTAACCTCGTTCTCCAGCTCTCTTCTCCATGTGTTTTTTGGCCTTCCTTTATTCCTATGCCCCTGTGGGTTCCAATGCAAAGACATTCTAGTTATGCTGTTCTCCTGTTTTCTCAGTGTGTGCCCTATCCAACGCCAGCGTCTTTTCCTCACTTCCTGATCCACTGGAGCCTGTTTAGTTCTCTCCCAAAGTTCTACATTAGTTATTCTATCATACCATTTTATTCCCTCTATTCTGTGCAGGCACCAGTTAATGAATGTCTGTAATTTATTAGTAATTGCCTTGGTTGTTCTCCCTGTTTCCGCCCCATACAATAGTACTGATTTGACATTAGAATTAAAAATTTTTAGTTTAGTATTTCTTTTAATTTCTTTTGACCTCCACAAATTCCCTAGTGCTATGAAAGCCCCTCTTGCCTTTTGTATTCTTATTTTAATATCTCTATCAGTTCCTCCATCTTTATCTACATTACTGCCTAAATAGGTGTACGACTCCACGTCTTGGAGTGGGGTGCCATTAAGAGAAACCACATTACTATTTGCCTGATTTATTTTCATTATCTTTGTCTTTCCTTTATGGATTTTCAGACCAAGCTGCTTTGATCTCACATTAAGTATATTTAATTTATCTTGCATCTGATTCCGTGAATGGGACAGAAGAGCAATATCATCAGCGAAGTCCAGATCATCAAGCTGTTTTGTAGGGGTCCACTGAATTCCATTCTTGGTGTTAGCAGTTACTGTTTTCATAGTCCAGTCTATAGCCAGTAAAAATAAGAGGGGCGACAAAAGACATCCTTGTCGCACACCTGTTTTTATTTCAAATGCATCTGTTAGTTTTCCCTCATGAAGAACTCGACATTTCATGTCTTTATATGTTGCCTTTACTAAGTTGATAATTTTCTGTGGGATTCCATAGTGCCCCATCAATTTCCAGAGAGATTCCCTATCTATGCTGTCAAATGCTTTTTCATAGTCTATAAATCCAATGTAAAGTGGTGAGTTCAGTTCAATTCTTTGCTCTATTATAATACGTAATGTGGCTATCTGATCAGTACAGGATCTGTTTGACCGAAAACCTGCCTGCTCATCTCTTAGCATTTTATCAATAGCATCTTTTAATCTTTCCAAAATAATTCTACTTAATATTTTTCCAGGAACTGACAGCAACATAATTCCTCTATAGTTTTCACACTCCTGTAGATCACCTTTTTTGGGCAGTTTCACAAGATATCCTTCTCTCCAGTCTGCTGGTATTTCTTCGGTCTCCCAGACTTTACTGAATAATCTATGTAGCAATTCTGTTGATGTGTTTATGTTGGCCCTGATGGCTTCAGCTGGGATACCGTCTGGGCCTGTCGCCTTTCCTTCCTTGAGAAGATTTATAGCTTTCCTAATTTCCTCTTTGGATGGTATCTCACAGTTGATATCCAGTTCCATTTCTAAAGGCTGGATATCTGGGAGAACCTCTGGGCCTGGTCTATTTAGAAGCTCACATAGCTGAAAACAAATTCAAGATCAATCAGGGGAGCTTAGAACTCAGATCATCTAATGTTGCAGATGCTGCCCAACCATGAAGTCCTTCCACTCAAAAAACATCATATGCTCTGATGAATAGAAACTGAATGGCAGCAAATGCAGCATGCAGAAAACAATTTGATTTCCCAAAATGATACAGTTGAAAACAAAATTTAACAAACAGAAATCCCATGTGATACTTAAAACTACTTGTGAGAAGTTAAAATGGGATGCACTTACTTTGTTATTTGAAGCCCCACCCTGGCTTTTGCTGAGGGCCCCGAATATAGCTGGGCCATAACTATAAAGCCTCACGGATGGAAGGGGTTTCTGGGACCTCTCCATGGGTGATCCTCATCCGCATGGTGGCACTTTGTGTCGCCGGGTGTTATTTTGCTTGTTTGATGTCCTGGTGGGGTACAACTACCTATGCCAGATTTGATTGCAGTTGTTTGTTACTTCAAGTCCCGACCCAACTGTCATCAAGGGCCCCAATATAACCGAACTATTGAGCAGGACTTGTGTCTAGGGGATTCTCATTTGATTGGTGGCACCTTGTGTCACTGGGTGTTTATCGCTTGTTGTGTCATCCTAGTGGGATTGAACATCAGTCAGTCAGTCAGTCAGCGAGATTCACAAAAAGAAAGAAAACAAAATGTGATCTAAGAGTTCGTTTTTTTTTCTGAATAAGCTCCAAGTTGGATATTAATTTAGTCCTTAAACTGATTGTTTAGAAGATATGCTTCACTTTATTTAGCATAATATTCTAATTGTCCTGTTTGATTGTGCTTGTATTTCAGTATGCCCAAGAGAATGTCCACCTGTGTTGGAACCAAAATGTTCTGATGTAAGTCACTGTCAGATTTGCTTGAAAATTTGCTTGTCCCTTTCCACAGCTGATTCAATTAAAATAGACTGACATCATTTACCCATTCTTGTTCTTACTGTTCATCAGCTGTAAATTCCTGCAGGGAGTTCTGGTTGTTTCTCAGCAAGTGGACTTTACCCTTGTTTTAGAACTTGAGTTTTATTGCAAATCCATTATACAGAACTAGCTTTTTTGTATGCAGATTGTTGGTTCCACACCCCTCAGGCAGATGCACTCTAACTTCAAAGGAAGCCTGCCTAATTACTCATCTTGTACAACATGCTTGTTAGGGAGGCACTGAATCCATTTTTATTTTTGCCCCCACAATTAGGCCCCAGAATCTACACAGGGAATTTACACATTCAGGAACTGTACGAGTATGTAAGCAGTTCGATTTTCTCCTTGTTTTAAAATAATTTCTCCTCTTGTCTTGAATTTTATGGAGCCAAAGTGACACAGTGACTAGTGTACCAGCTTGCCACAATAATAGTTGTGATTCGATCCTCATGACATCACCCCATCTGGTCAGAAGATTTGTAAGTCTCACATCCTTTCTAGTAGATACCAAAAATGACATAATATAATAGTGCCTTGGTAAGTGACCAGGGGATCCAGCTGATGCTCACACTCAGGGAAAAGGTGAGGTGGATTTACAATGAAACTGACTGATACCTGCACTTGCTGTTGAATGTGGAATGTTGAATGAAGAATAATCATCATAGCACTCTAGACACTCCCATAAGTGCTCCATCCCCATCTTCAGCAGCAAGCGAAGAGCTTCAATTCCAATGATACCCTAAACTGTCTGACTGTACATCCATCTTGCCTTTATTTTGAGTATTGAGCGTTGGCGAGCTCCCCTGGTAACTTCCCTCAGCGCCATTCTCCTCAGACCGTAATGATCTATTTGTTCCTCCACACTGTTCACTCTCTCCCAAAGGGCTGTCATACATCAATTCACCACCAAGTGGTGCAGAACCAGCCAGTCTATTTACCTGCGCATTTCCCAACACACCAGCTTAACCTGGAGAAAATATCCAAAGGACACTAACTACCCAGGGATTTTGAAGCGATACCTGCCACTCTACATGGAGCATGCCTGTCTCCACCTTTTTTAACAAACTCTTGTGAGTCAGTTACAATTATGACAGCTGATTCTCTATCCAGCGGAAGGCAGCAGTGTCTGCTGCACTTGCTGTTGAAGATATGGATAAATCAACTATGGAAATGTCTAGACTAATATAAAATTGGCCCCTAACTCATAGCTCATAGTAATGATACTTGAATGTGATTACTGTAAAATACTGTGGTGTCTCCAACATTGTCAGCACTTTAAACAAAAAAAAATCATAAATTGGTGACTAAACCAGAACATGCCAGGGTGAGGGGAAATTAAAGAGCTGACATACTGGGCATGTTTGTAGTGGTCGGGCGGGGGAGGGGGGGGGGATATTTATAAACAGGGCAGACACACTGAATGTGCTACGTTCTAGAGACTTTGAAGCACTGAAGTAGAGGATAATGAACCACCTGTTGGAAATGGGTATTCAATGGGGACAAGCATGCAGAAACTGGTTGCAGTGCAAAGAAAGAAGATATGACAATCAATTTCTACTGGGTACATTGAGATTGGAGATAGTGGGATGGTGGCTGCACCAGAGGATGGAGCATGTACGGCTCGGACTGATGTGATAGGATGTTGATACAGACAACAAGTAACAAGTAACTATGATCCCTGTTGCATATACTTAGTAAGAGAATAGAATCAGCTGCTGTATCTTCTAACGGAAATCTTCTAGTAGACATTGCTGCTTGTATTTAACAGGGCTATGAAATTGTGGAGATACTTCAAGACTGCAACTGCATGACAAAAGCATGTGGTAAGTCACCCTTTTGTTTACTTTTTGTGTAACTACACACACACATTTAAAATGTATGTCTCATTCTGTAATCATTCTGGGTCTTCTTCTTCTTCTGCATTCACCCTTAAAAAGACAGTTGTTGTGTTGTGGTTTATGGCTATGTTGCAAAATGTGCACCTTTCAGTGCAACAAATCTCATTTCAGTTAGTCCCCTTTTACAACTTGCTTTTAGGTGGCAGTGAGTCCATTCTCTCCCCACCCAGAATGAGGCCTCCATAAACTAACATGGGGAAGCCTGGTTCTGATCCTTGTTGGTGAGATTACATTTCTTTCAAAATCAATATGGCTGTCAAATCATCAAAGCCCAGTTAAATGAGAACCTAATTTCTGGGAAAGTAAAGGCCTCTGTTATGTAATATCTGTCTCAATACTTCTCATTGGCTATTTAGTCATAAACAGCATTAGTCTAAGATCATTTTCACAGCATATAACAAGTTTGACTTTCACTTGTTCGGTAAGCTGAATTTAGGAGATAAAACATTATGTAACTGGGAAATTGTTAAACTATTTGCTGCAAGGAGAGCCGCCATGATATAGCAGCTAGACACTTGCCTGTGGATCAGATTGTCATGGGTTCAGGTGCTGAGTGAGCCAGATTTTTTTTCCAAAATAACTCTACTCCCAGGTCAACCCAGCCTTGAGTGGGTACCAGGTACAAGCCAAGGGAAGTAAAGGTGGCTGGCATGATACTAACCACCTCCCCTACCAATTGCGGACTGCTCTATAAAATATAGGTCTAGCCCTATATGCCAATATGCATGAAGGCGTAGAAAAGGACCCTTTATTTACATTTTTGCTGCAAGAGTGTCCAGAATTAATAGCAGAGAAAATAATTCTTGCATACACCTTCTCTATGTAAGAACAACAACTCAAGTTCATTATTATTTGTGTCAATATATTTACATTGTTGTCTGAAAATTTACAAAGAAGATTTCAGTATGAGTTGGGTTTTACTTTACTGTACTCATACTCACCTCAAAGACTTTAACATAAATTGAAAATTTTTCAGAAATGCGTCACTTACATGCCATGATTAACCTTTTGCAGGACAGAAAATGGAACCACTCTGTCATTATAGCCTGACTCACAAACATCTCAGTGGAATCACAGTCTCCTTAGTGGTGCCTCAGACTGCTACCTTCAAGGTACAATTTCACTTTCACTTTTACAGATAAACCTGTATTACGATAAGCCTCCGGTTTGGTCACGTCATGCTTAATATAAAGGTTCTTGTCCAATGTTACATCAAATGAAGCACTGTGGCTAAAAAGTTTTATTCACAGTTAACTCATTGTTTCCACTTTAATGTTATCACACATATAAATAAATATTTATTCATCGGTTACATTTGATTGTTTTTTGTGTAATATGACAAATATATTATCTTTCATTGGAAAACTTATTATTTGAAATTATAACCTTCTTTTCTTTTCCTCTTTCATTTCCCAGCAACACACCATGTGTGCTGGATATTTCTCATTTGCTCCAGTCAACATGTTTTGTATCTTTGTACATTGTAAGCTGACAGAGGTACAGTTATCTACACAGACGGATCTGTCGTTTGATATGTATAAAGCTCATGAACTTTCACCTTCTGGTTTGAGAGAAAACTGTAAAAGGAGAAAGCGGGACTTTTGCCTCAACTACAAGTAGTCTGACTCTGGGGGTGATGGCGGTAGCCAAAGCAATGATGTGGCTAGAGACACCGCAATTTAAATTTTCTCATGCATGCTTTAAAAGAGATTCCATGAGTGTGCTTAAGAAGACTGAAACAGGATGGAATGGAATAAAATATTTGGAGTCGCTGAGGAAATCTCATCTGATAGAAGTTAGTCACTTTTGTGAAAGGACGCTCCGGAGTAAGAGGGAAATAAAAGAGCAGATTGGCTTGCTGGCAGGGCCACAGTTAGTTAGTTAGTCTTTCCTCTTGTGTCGAGTGCGGCACATAGGGCAGAGGTCGCGACTCTCCATGCACGGCGGTCCGTTGCAATCCGTTGTAGGTCTTGGATGTTTGAGTGGCCCATGAGCGAGCCTTCCCTGATGATAGTTCTACGTAGGGTTTCCCTTGGTCTTCCACGAGATCTTTTCCCCTGTGGTGTCCAAATGAGGGCTTGGTAAGGAAGTCTTGATTTATCCATTCTAAGGGCGTGGCCGACATAGTTCCAGCGGCGTTTTCGTATAAAATTAGACACATACTCTTGCCTGGATTCTTGCCTTATTTGTGTATTGGTTCGGAAATCTGACCATTTGAAATTTAGTATTCTTCTAAGGCATTTATTTTCAAAACTGTCTAATTTTGTGTCTAGAGTTTTCGTTGATTTCCAGCTCTCGCATCCATAGGTTAGTACTGGAATCACACAAGAATTGAAGATCTTGAGTTTTGTGTGTTTGCTAAGTGTCTTTGATTTCCAGATGTTAGACAGTTTATTGAAGGCACTAGATGCCAGTGCTATTCTAAATGATATTTCTGGTGCGGTATCTCCTGTAGATGACATCTTGCTCCCTAGATAAGTGAAACTGTTGACTTTTTCAAGGCTGTTGTTGTTCAGCGTGATATCAACTGAACTGTTGGTAAGGTCTAGAATTTTTGTTTTTGCGGTGTTAATTTGGAGTCCAATTTGTTCTGAGAAATTCTGGAGTCGATTGATTTTTTCTTGGGCATCTGTGTGTTCTGAACTCAGGAGTGCTATGTCGTCGGCGAAGTCTAGGTCTTCCAGAATTTTGTCAACCCATGTAATGCCTAAATTTGCGTTATTTATGCACTTGCGCATGACCCAGTCGATTGCTATACCAAAAAGCATCGGCGATAGGACACAGCCTTGCTTCACTCCTGTTTCCACCGGGAACCAGTCAGAATTGCCGGAATCAGTTCTTACACAGCATCGTGTTTCATTTTAAAAAGATTACACAGTAGTTACAGGAAAAACAATGGACTGGGCTGACATTCTCAATGCTCTCAAGGAGGCAGGACGAGAAAGTGATTCAGGAGATGAATCGGCAACATGCAAAAGACTAAAAGAACTTTATGTCAAGCAAAGTGCCATGAAACATGAACATTATACAAGTAGCCAAAGAAAAAAAGTAACCCATTACAGAAAAATGGTATTATCAGTGGGCACACGCTGTGGGATATATTGAAGATGGGATCCGAGTGCTTATTTACTTGTCTGATTAACTAACTATTGTAATTTTAGTCAGGCAAAATAAATAAACCCAGCAACACAAGTCACCCTATTGGGTGCTGTGTATTCAGACCCTGTGGATGCAGTACACCAATTGTTTTGTTGTCATAAATATTGATTCAAAAAAGTATCAGCTATGCAATTCTGGGACTGAAAAAGATAAATTTAGCAAATGTATTTTTTTTTTTTTGACATATACATTTCAGTGAATTTATTTCTCTTGTTTGAATGCATATTTGTGTAGTAACTTTAATGCCTCAATGATGATTTCAGATCAACGACACCTGGACAGATGGTCTCTGTAAGACCTGTACCTGTCTAATGACATCAAGTGGTAGCCCAGAAACTTCCTGTCAAACACAGATTTGTTCAAAATGTCAGACTGTAAGTATATTTCATGTAGCTGGACAATAAACGTATTGAAAGGTCATTTTAAAGGCACCCATATAACACAGAATTGTTGTAGTCCCAGCCAGCGTATGATGTGTGATTTCCTTATTTTTTTAAGTGGCAACATTTTGCCTAATGTGTTCCAAATTTGTATGGTCAGGGAACTTTAAAAAAAACAAAAAGAGATACCACAGCCGCTAGATACTTTTCAGATTTTAGGCTTGTAGCCACAATCATGCAGTTTTGATAATTAATCCAGACTGCCAGTTTAGCCAAGCTTAAAACAAGAACTTTAAATGGTCTGGGAAGTACAGGTAGTCGGCATGATGTTAAAGACACACAAGTGCCAGATGCTGTTAACAATTTAGCTGATGTGTCAGGGTCATGAAGGGGGTGCATTACTTGACCTTAAAGAGGTCTGATTCCTAACGGACTACTTTCACTGTGTAGTTAGTCAGTTTGAGTTATTAGTTATGTGTTATTAGTTGAGAACACATCATAGCACATGGAACATTCCCACAAGTGCTCCATCCCCACCTTCAGCAGCAAGCATAGTGTTCCAGTTCTGATGGTGCCAGTAGCAGTCTGTGTGTCCATCTCAACTGAATGTTGACCGTTGGTTAGATCCCTGGTCCATCCTTACTGCACTATTATTTTCAGACCTTAATTATTTTTTTGTGCCTCAAGGCTGTTTATTTGTGCTGAGTAGCCACAGAAAAGATATACCTGCTGTATGAAGCCTTAGATAAAGTTAAGGTCAACAATTGAAAAGAGGATGGGGTCTTGAATGGAGCAAGCTGAAGACACAATTAGACATGTGTAGAGGTGTCTGTAGCTTAGGCATTGCAAACAAGTGTTGTAATGCCAGGGTGCTGGGTTTGTTCCCAGCTGCAGACGGTTTGTCTTGTGTTGGTTTGACAGTGGTACCAAGCAGTGGCAAACTGCTGAACCTAAAATTTGACTTGAAAAACCACAACACCCAAAGAATGCTGGGGTTGGTTCTGCAATGTCTTGAAAAGGATACACAACTAACTTTTAACAGGCTTAATTAAGAATATTAAGCAAGGTGAGGAGTGGTTCAGAGTGTCAGATCAGTAATCACAGTAAGGTGTGAGTGCAGGAACTGGCCAGCTGGCACTGCAGAATCAGAAGTTACCACTACCTTATTTTTGTCATTGCTCCCTGCTACTACTGCCCCCTAGACCATTCCAGCACGCCCTTCCCCCTCCAGATTTATCAAGGCAGCTGTTGTGCCCTGGACTGTCCCGGCTAAGATGAGTTAACAATAATGACTGCTTCATGTTTTCAGGATGAGGTGAAGGTAGACAGACAAGACCAATGTTGTGGTGAATGTCACAAAATCCGAGGGTGTTATATTAATGGAACACTTTATAAAGTAAGTATTTAAATATTACTAGCTGTACCCGGCCACGCGTTGCTGTGGCATAGTTTGGCTAAATGGAAATGAAAGAAAATAGAAATCGCACCTGTCTATTACAATCATTGTCTGCTCAGATATAGAGATAGTATTTGATCCCCCCCCCCCTTCCCCATCACCACCACAACTAAATCCACCTACTACTCTCTCCCTCATCAAAAGTTTTTGGAAAAGAAAGACAATGGAAATCGCATGTGTCTAATATAGTTAATGTTGCAATCATTCTCTGTACAGATATAGAGATAGTCTGGTTTTCCAACTTTAGAACACTCACCTTATAATTGTGTCTTTATATTAGTGGTCGTGTAAATGGTGTTATTAGCACAGTAACAAAAATGGTTATTTGGTTATCACATGCTAAAGCTGTCTGTATTTGTATAGGAGACGGAAGTAAAGCTACAACTGTACTTGTAAATAACAAAGTAAGTCGTAAAAAATAGAAAAGCGAAGGTAGCGTTAGTAAAATATAAACAAATTAGGTAATGAGAACTTGAAAATCACGTGTAAAGCTCTGTAGGTTCTCTTAAATTTAAGTCATTACCCCCCCCCCCCCCCCCCCCCCCCCCCCCTTCCTCTTCCACCAACTATTGCTCTCTCCCTCTTCGAAAGATTTGAAAATCATTACCTGGCAATATTATTTTGTTGCTGTAACTGATATTGACATCCCTGTCTATCCGGACTAAAATGGGCAGCAGGAATTGTAATGGGTAGTGAATGGGGCTAGTGTAATATTTACCACATCACCCTTAAGTACCAGTACAACTACTACCACGACCACCACCACAGTAGCTAAAATAATGTCACTGCTATCTGTGTTACTATCGGAGTAGACAGAGAGTCGTGAGCCAGAAGATTTGGTTCCGCATGGCTAGTGCTGTCGCCACAGACTGGTCAGGTTAGGATGTATAATTTCGCTTCCCAACAGAAGAACGCCATAACCTTACCAGCGGTCTTCACATGAGAGCACCACGGTGTAACAGCCCAACCACAACTACTGCTGCTGCTGCTACTTTAAGTGGGTAAAGCAGTTACTGTGACTTAAAGCTCTCTCAGTTAACAGTAGCCCCACCCCCCCCCCCCTCCCAAATTCACCGCCAACTCTTTCCCTCATTCCAAGTAGTTGGGAGAAGAAAAAAAAAAACCACTTGAAAAGCAAATGAAAACAGGGAAAAAACACCATAATTAGGAAATGAACGCTATGGTAAACAGCTTAGCTTAAAATTCCAACGCAGATGAAATAACTAAATCTAAAAAATAAATAAATGGAAAGCTATGAAATTTCAGCATAACCATGCAATCGGAAAGTTTAAAAATGCAATCATAAGTATGCGAAATGGTCAAATTTAATTATCAAATGGTTTACCCATTTACTTGTCTTTTTTTTTTTTTTTTTAGTTGCCACATGGCTAGTGCTGTCACCACGACAGAGCAGATGAGGATATTATTTTATTCCGGGGTAAAAAAAAAAAAATTAACTACTGCGGATTCAAACCCTGGTCTCCCGCACAGGAACCTAGTGTTCTAACCATTCGACCAAGCAGCCACTTCATCGGAGCAACGAAAAGAGAACTAAGCTATTAGAGATGTGTGTCCCCACTACTGTGTCCCGATTATAACACAACTCAAAACCGCAGGCAATTGTTTTCTCATAGACAGATACTCCAGATATATTAATGAAATGGCACAACAATAGAAATCGCACGTGTCTAACACGGTTAATGAAGTTAATGTCGCAGTCAGTATCTGCGCCGACGTCGAGATAGTCCTTGATGCCCCCCCCCCCCCCCCCCCACCCATTGAAGATTGTTTGGAAAAAAAACAAAAAAATAGAAATCGTGTTTAATATGGCTGTTGTGGCAATCACTGCCTACACAAATATAGAGATAGTCTTGTTTGCTGTTCCACGACCTACTCTATGCATTAGAGAAGGTGTTGGCTGCACGTAACTCACCGCCGAATGGTGGAAGTCTTGCGTTCTGACTACGGCGCATGCGCAATTACTAACGTGGCTATAATTAGATGTCACTAACAATTTAAATATTAGTTTCGAATATTTTTGCTTAAATTGTCGCAAACTATATCTAACAATGACAGGTTGAATTTCAAACCATGATGGGTGAACATCCGGTATCAAAACAAACATATCCTGAAAATTTCAGCTAAATCGGTTCAGTAGTTTTCGAGTCTATAGCTCATAAACAAACACACAAACATTGATTTTTATATATATAGATGCCTTTTCAGAGCTGCCAAAGGTATCTTTTCCTCTGATCTCACTGAAGTAAAGACACTATCAAAGTTGGCTCCTCAATTCTGGAAAGTTGCTAAATGAATGTTTTTGTTTTGTATTTTGTAATGGCAGACATGCTTTTAAAAATATCAAGTGTTAAACCAGTCTGTCATGCTAACATTCTTAATGTGTTTATAAATATGGAAGTATTTTGGCTTAAGGAGCTAATTTATTTATTTTACTCACAAACTTTATTTTCTCCATGTAATTCCTTCAGCACCTTAACTTGTTGCCAAAATGAAGACCTCACTGTCTTATGTATTTGGGAGAGAAAAACAGACATAAATAATTATTAAATCTTATTATATATTATATAACTAGCCTGCAAAACTAATTCAGCTCTTGTCATTACAAACACCTGTGTTGGCCCACACCATTTACTCAGGTGGTAACAGCCAAATCAGATGTCCACAATGTGGAGGAAGGAAAACAATAAAGGCAGAATACTGAGGATGATTTAGGCTATATGGTGATAAAGATCTCAGATTTGATGTTTGAAGGCTACATTTCTAATGTTTCTGTTGACAGCCTGGGCAGACAATCCCGACAAACAGAAAGTGTTTTACTAGAACCTGTGAACAAGACAGTCTAGAGAAGAGATTTATCATTCAGGAGACACAGGTTACCTGCCCACCTGTCAGCACATTACCTACATGTGAACCGGTGAGCTGTCAGGGAATTTAATGAATGTTTTTGAACAAAGTGTTTAGTTTTTAGATAAGCTGGTGAATGTTCAGATTACAACCACTGAATAGCTACAGTTATTTAAAATTATATATATTTATGTGTCATAAAACAAGTTTTTATTATCATTCTCATTCTCATCAGTTATATTTTTTTTTCTCTGTGAAACATGACATCTAAATCCATTGATGAAGTGCCAACTTCACAATCAATGTTACTTGTTCGATAATCTTCCCCCATTTACTGTGATGTTTCTAATGCAAACAATCACATATTTTATTTCTTCCTATATTAATTATCTAGTTCACATTCTACAGTGCACCAATTTGCTTGCTTTGTGAGGTCTTTTAATTGATATAATACCAAAACAGTGCTTAATGCCTCCACTGCTTCCTTCACAGTTATATACATTTCTTAACTGACATTGTCCAGGACATTTGTCACTCACAGTTATAAATGTATGACAAAAAGGGTTAGCATAATAACTGTCTGCAGCAAACTGAGGCTTGTTAACAGTGGATTAGGACACAAGGAAAACTGTTAACTAGGAGTGAGTGGGTTAATGTAACAAGTCTGATGGGATGAAAGAGTTAACTTCTGCTCACTCTCCATCACTAGCACTGTGGCATCTAAAGTTGTTTATTACCCTTCACTGATAAGCCAGTTCCCCACCTTATATAGAACTATTTTCTGCCTGTAAGCTGAAAAGGTTTGAGATTAACAATATACCTGCTATACTTCTCTTTTTGATATCTGTGTGACGAGTAATCATTGTTGCTTCTTGTAATAGTATATCTTTCCATCTAATATTGTACTTTGAAATGTAAATAGCTATTCGTGCTGTACATTGTCAACAACTTTTTTTTTTCTAGTTTAGAAACATACAAGCAAAAACAATTGTTTTATGGTGATCATTTCTATTAGTTTACTGTATATTTGTCCAGGTGTGTCCAATGTTTCTAATACAAGTGTTTTTAATACCACTGTTCTGTCTTCCAGGGACAAGACAGCTTTGACTCCTCTGAGTGTTGCATGAAGTGCATTTCACAAAGTAAGTTTTCTTGTTAAATATCAGGGTTGTGATGTACAAGGAGACCTAAGCTTGACTTATTGCACTTGTAAGCATTTTGCTATCATCACTTTACCAAGCTGCTGCATTGGTGTAGTGGATAGTGGGTCTGTGCCTATCAGCCTATAGTCCTGAGTTAAAACCCCAGTGATTCTGGCTGGAGGAAGAACTGTAAAGAAAGATAGCAATGTTTTGCCACAACTACAAGTAGTCTGACAATGGAGGTAATAACACTAACAAAAGCAATGACCTGGCTAGATATTTCCACATCTGTGCTTTCTGGTTGGAGGAGTCTCTAAGGAAATCTTCTCTGACAGGAATCAGCTTCTTTTTATTTTTAATGATCATATGGTTCTAGCATGTGCCCAGTCTCATTAGATTGGTGTCAGGAAAGTGTTATGTAAGTAAAGGGTGGCTGTGATGCTGACCACACAACCGTTCACAGACTTTTTTGTCAAGAACTTTTTAGTCTGGCATCATATCCTGAATATGCCTTGATGGTTTGAGAAAAAGGCTCTTTGTCTTTTATATTTTACCAACTCAATAAAGGTAAGACACTAGAAATAATTGTCGAATATAGACATCAGTAATCTTATAAGAACTATTTTTAGCTGATATTATGCTATCAATGTCTAACCTAGACCTTTATTACAATTAATTTCTGGAAATTCATCATAACAACAGATGAGATGTCTTTGGAAAGCTACTAGAGGGACAATAAGAAATAAGACATTACAAACTGAGAAACTAGAAGACAGCAAATGGAACTGAGTTTCAGTTCACTTGATAGCAACAAATACAAAACTATTTTGGCATCACAGGAGAATGCCCTAGAACCAACCACTGCAGAGCACAATTTTCATGAAATACAATAAGCACAGAGCAAGTGAAAGAGCACACAAATGACAGAATAATGGCATCAAGAAAGAAAATGTATCTTGCAAAACATGTTAGAAATAATACACAGAAGATCACCACATCTGCTCACAGAAGATCTCCACATCTGCTCACAGAAGATCCCCACATCTGCTCACAGAAGATCCCCACATCTGCTCACAGAAGATCCCCATATCTGCTCACAGAAGATCCCCACATCTGCTCACAGAAGATCCCCACATCTGCTCACAGAAGATCCCCACATCTACTCACAACAGTTAGCTAAGGTATCTAGCAAAAGAGATAAGGAAGAATTGGCACCAATGTTTTCAGCAGGGCAAATTTTTCTTGAGTTGAGTCTAGAACTGACAGCCCAGCACTCAGGGCATTTTCATTCACTTCTGTCCTTATCTACAGCAAGTCAGCCAAGAGTTTCAGTTCTAATAGTTAAAAATTGTTCTTCAGAACTGATAAGACAGCATCATGTGACAAGATTCAAGTTTTTTGTTTTTTAAATTAGCATTGAAAAGGAATTTTTATATTATTGCGAATGTTTTTTTATATTTATCTCTTAGTTTGTGAATGTATAGTATAAATACTTATTGTGGTTGTTACTTTGTCATCTTTAAAAAAAATTCAATTTTTTTGTAATGTATTTAAAAAAAAAAACATTGTATATAAAAAGAAATGTATAAGTTTAAAATCCCAATGTTCCATAAAATTACGGCTAACTTAATAGAGAGCCAGTCAGTCAGTAGCCTTTCCTTTGCAAAACTTGCCCCCATAACAACCTTCTATAAAACTTCTCGATCACAGGCAAGATGTCCTGCATCTTATGCACCCATCTGGAGATCATCCACAACATCCTATAGCCATTTTCTCTTTGGCCTTCCTCTTTCTGTCTTCCTAGGCATATACCCCTCCATTATTGTTCTCTCTGGGAGCGGATGTTCCCAGACTCAAAATAAATGGTAGGGACATCAAAAGAGACAACAGACTGCAGTACCTGGGTATCACCTTTGACAGAAGTTTGTCTTTCAAGGATCACATAGAGAGGGGTTGTGACAAAGGCCCAAAAACATCTTAATGCACTAAAGATAATGGCAGTGATGGACATAGAGCAGAGATTGCTGTTAACACTTTACCAGCACTTAATCATCTCAGTGATTGATTATGATCTGGTGATACTCACTATCTCAAAGAGTCAACTAGAGAAACTGGAGCGCATACAGAATGAAGCTATGTGGGTGATCCTGCGATGTAATAAAGACACCCTGATTGTGTGCATGTGATGCATCCTTGCCTTGCTGACTATTGCAGTTAGGCTAAAAGTGCTGCAAGCTAAGTCACACTTCAGAGTAGCTGCAGACAAAGAACACCCTCCGTATGAAGCTTTGGTTGCCGGTAGGGGTGAGAGGCTAAAAAGGGAAAACAAGTATGCATGCTGAGGAACTTTGCACGAGGAGAGGAGTGTGGATCAGAGTACCAGCGGAAAAGTCTGACCTGTGTAGGGTTATGATCATATTAGGCCGGGAGTGCAGAGACAGGCCAGTAGGTACTACGCGGGTCAGAAATCCAACAGTTTATTCACGTCAATTCACGCCCAGGTGATCTGATTATCTATACAGATGGTTCAGTGTTGAGAGGAAAGAGAAGTACCTAGGGGTTCACAGCGAAAGCCAATGAAAAATATTTAGTGCAAGACAGCCTGGCATACGACATCACAACATCTAGCAGGAGAATGGAGTTGTAGGCGGTAATTGCAGCTCTCTGGTGGCTAGAGAACAAGATGCATACACATGTCATAATTGTAACAGACTCTGAAAGCATGCTGAGAAAGGTGAAGACAGAGATGTTTCGAGCAGAGTGGCAAGCTTCACTGGAAAGGTCACGGGTAGTGAGCATATTTTGGACTTTTCTCTAGGCATGCTTGCGTAGTGGGTAATGAACAGGCAGACAGATTGGCTGGATCTGCACCTCTGGGTGGTGAATTGATACATGACAAGGCAAATGTTGTCAAGGCCATTAGGGAACATCCAATGGAATCAGTAGAGAAAGAAGATTATTATGGCCTGGAGAGAATGAGGCACATGGATGTATCCAGAGGGTCTGACCGGCTCACTTCACTCCCAGGAAAGGCAAGAGGAACATATAACCAGATTGTGACTGGTACCATCGTATTGAAACTATGTGCTGGCTGCTGAAGATGAGGACGGAGCATGCATGGTAATGCCTCGAGTGCTGTGATGTCAGTTCTTGACTCAACTCAACTATTGTTCTTTCTTAACTTTTGTGATGTTTCAGGTGGCTAAAATATTTCAGTTTTCTGTGTTTTATCATCTTTAATAGCCAACCTTGAAAATTCAGTTCTTCAAGTATGGATGTATTTGTTCTTTTCTTTACAAATGATATTCTTAGAACCCGTCTATAACATTTGTATTCAGAGACATTTATGTGCTGTTCAGCTTGTTAGCTTGTTTAGTAATTGTCCAGGTCTCACAGGCGTATGTTGTAATGGGAAAGATGCATGCTCTTAGAAATCTAATTTTTGTAGTTCTGTCCGTCCCACTCCAAAATTTATTCAGTTATTTTAGTCTTTAAAGAGCAATTGACAGTCGTTGTTCAATTTCTTTTATTAATTTACCATTGTTGGTAATCAATGACCCAAGATTGTTAAATTTTCCACAACCTCCAATCTTTCCTATTTAACATATATTTCTTTCCCCATAGTATAACAGAGAGCGAAAATTTAAAATGTGGACAAAACTTTAACAATTTTTTTTAAATAATTTACCTTAATTCAGTCATAATCTTTATTTTCTAATGGTGAGAAATTTTAAAAGCATATTTAAGATTTCTGTTGACATGCTCTTACTAAAAATAAATGTGGGAAAAAAAACATGACTGTTTCCCACCCACCTGGTTACTTTGTGAATTTTAAATTGTTGTGAGCTTTTTGTAGTGGTTTTTAAGGCTGCATCGTTACCCTAAGATACTTCAGTGACATTGATAAGAAAATTTAGGAATGATGGGTAAAGAAGGTTTGATCCTACTAAAGTCACACAATGGATAGGTCCAGTTTTAAACTGAGACTATGCTAGATAGCAGTCATTGTTATATTGTTGTTGAGAATCTTTATCTTGTGATTGATTAGGTTGGTGCTCTAACCACTGAGTCATACCTTCATCAAATGTGTATTATCTAGGCTAGTGTAAAACCACAGTGCTGCAGCTGCAATCCACTTTCTAATCTCACTTATATTACTTTATTACAGAAATGGTACCAAGAAGTCCAACTGGCAACACAGCTGGCAGATCTTGTACAACAAGACCTGTGTTTAGTCATCCCAGAGACTCAGTTGGCTATTTCCAAGTAGCAATGTCTAATGGCCATACTTGTCACAACACAGAGCCCGTCACAGATCTTCTAGAATGTTCTGGCTTCTGTGGGTCAAGCACTAGTTTGAAAGAGCTTATGCAGGGATACCAGAATACATGCCTTAGCTGTCAAGTTGTGAAAATGTCAATGCATTCTGTAAAACTAACATGTACTGATGGTTCATATCTTGACAAGACTTATGAAGTACCAGAACTATGTGTCTGCAATATTTGTCAAGATCAATGATAACACTTGTTAGCAAATTATTCTCTTTTTGTCCACATCACAAGCATAGCCTTGTCCTCTAAGTATTAGTAAACACATTCCTAGAGGTATATATATGTGTTAATTGTACATTTACTTCACAATTTCTTCACCATATAGGACATTTCTTAGCTCAACATAGACAACAAAATGTTTTATCAGCTTAAGCCATGTAATAGGTCACACATTTGGGCTATTTTAGCTCAACATAGACAACAAAATGTTTTATCAGCTTAAGCCATGTAATAGGTTATACATTTGGGCTTTTAGCTCAACATAGACAACAAAATGTTTTATTATCTTAAGGTATGTAATTGGTCATAAATTTGGGCCTTTTTTTTTTTTAGCTCAACATAGAAACAAAATTTGTCATCACTTTAAAGCACTTAAACTAAATCTGGTCCTAATTGTTATTTTAAAAATATTTATATACAATATTTGAATGAAATATTGTAGTACTGTGAATGTTAGCAACAGTTCACTGTCTGTGTAGCTCTTGTTGATTGTGAACCGAAGAATTATATTTTCATTCTGTATCATAGATAACAGTCTTGCAAGTTGGCTATTGATATTTTATTAAAATAAACAGTAAAACCATTAAAACAATTGTTTAGTGTCTCTATTTTTGATTTCTGAACAACTTCATGTGAACACTGTATACAAACTGTTTACAAAGTACACAAATTGTTCCTCACTATTTTAATGTCTATTCTTCAAGCCGAAAATGTGAATTGTGAATGTAGGATTTATGTTTGATAGTTATCTGAAGAATAACTAAATAAAGTACTTATTTAAAGTGCTGGTGAATTGGGTTGCAGCTGTCCTGTATTCACGTCGGGTTGCTCTCTGACTGGGCTCATGGACCTCAGAATAATGCACTTTGGCCCCTGGACTGCCACAGGGATCCGCCATCTCGCCTGTGCTCTTAAACGTGTATACGAGCAAGATTGCAAGCCTAGAAGCACAAGGAGTTGGAAGGATACTGACTTTTGCGGATGATATACTTGCATATAGGCAGGGGAAGAGAGGGAACAAACAGACTGGAAGCTACAAGCGACAGTAGACAAAGTGACTGAGTAGTGTACAGAAATGAGGGCTGTCGTCCACCCAGAAAAGGCGTCTGTTTTGTGGTGTTCTCTGGACAATAGAATCGTTAAAACTAATGTCAGAAGTCTCACGATAGATGGTAGAAACATCAACAGAGAGAGCAAACTGAAGTATCTGGAAATTACATTTGACAGGAGCCTGTCATTTAAGGACCATGTGGAGAGTGTTGTGATGAGATGCCAAAAAGGACTTAGTGTACTTAAGACTATGGCTGCAATTGACATAGAGCAGAGAATGCTTTTCACACTATGTCAGCACCTGATCCTGTCAGTGGTGGATTATGGCCTGGGACTGCTTACCGTCTCAAAGAGTCAGATGGACAAACTAGAGTGCATATAGAAAGCGGCTATGCGGGTCATTCTGGGTTGCAATAGAGACACCCCAGTGGTGTGTATGCAATACATCCTTGGTTTGCCTACGGTTGCAGGTAGGCACAAAGTGCTGCAGGCGAAGTCATATCTCTGGGTAGCTGCAGACACAGACCACCCTCTGCATGAAGCTCTGGGTGTAGTTAAGGGTCAGCGGCTGATAAGAGGGAGGTCATGGATGGCTCAGGCAGAAGACACAATCAGACAGGTTTGCATCCTTGAGAACATTAGGCGAGGAGATGAGTGGGTCAAAGTGCCACCTGAACAGTCAGACTTGTGTAGAGTCATAATCACGCTGAGCCTGGAATGCAGAGACTGGCCAGCAGGTGCCACAGAGGTGGAAATTCAGCAATTAATTCAAAATAGTGCTCGCTCAGAGGATTTGATAATTTACACAGATGGTTCAGTGTCTAGAGGCAAAAGAAGTGCTTGGGGCTTGTTAGCAAAATTAATGGTCGAAGTTTGGTGCATGAGAGCCTAGCATTTGATACCACAACATCCAGCTTAAGAATGGAGGTGGGGGCGGTCACTGCAGCTTTCCGCTGGCTAGAGAACACGACACACACACACATACTGATTGTAACTGATTCAGAAAGCATGCTGAGGAAGATCAGGACAGTCATGCTTCGTGCAGAGTGGCATGCTTCGCTGCGGAGGACACGAGTGAGGAGAATTGTCTGGATTTTTTCACCAGGTGACGCCGGTGTGTTTGGAAATGAACAGACGGACAGACTGGCTGGCTCTGCACAACTTGGTGGAATACTGATACATGATAGGGCAGACGTGGTTAGTGTCTTGTGGGAGAGCGTGTAAATTTGGAGGAGCAGATGGGTCACCACAGTCTAGTGAGATTGATGCAGTTTATGGGTGACGAGAGGTTCTGTCAGATGCTCGAGGCTCAGTGGAAAGGCAAGACGGACGTTTAATCAGAATGCTACTGGCACCATTACTATCGGAACTTTTCGCTTGCTGCTGAAGATGGGGACAGGGAGCTTATGGGAATGCCCCGAGTGCTGTGATGTCGGTTCTTGAATCAAATCAAATCTTTAAAAGTCAATATAATCCAGACATTGTCTTATTCCAATTTCTCTCTAGTGCAGAGGCATTCGTGACCCAGTTTCTCTCTAGTGAAAAAGTTTTTTCGTGACCCAGTTTCTCTCTAGTGCAGAGGTATTCGTGACCCAGTTTCTCTCTAGTGCAGAGGTATTCGTGACCCAGTTTCTCTCTAGTGCAGAGGTATTCGTGACAGAGTTTCTCTCTAGTGCAGAGGTATTCGTGACCCAGTTTCTCTCTAGTGCAGAGGTATTCGTGACCCTGTTTCCTCTAGTGCAGAGGTATTCGTGACCCTGTTTCTCTCTAGTGCAGAGGTATTCGTGACCCAGTTTCTCTCTAGTGCAGAGGTATTCGTGACCCTGTTTCTCTCTAGTGCAGAGGTATTCGTGACCCTGTTTCGTCTAGTGTAGTACAAGATCATTTTATAAAATTCCATCGCATGCAGATTAGGAGATTGCCAGGAAAGAACAACCAAAGACTACAAAGCAACATTGCTAGAATCTGATATACTAATTACTGAAGTAGTTGAAGTTGTTAAGCAGTCACCCAAACATGAAGCTGCGACCCGTGTAGATCCACAGCTGACAAAAGAACAGATAGGTTTCAGAAGAAAAAGAAGCTTCACAGATGCAATCTTCACACTTCATCATCATCATCAGATGCCTTGCCGACTGGCGTAGGCGATCATGCCTCTCCATAATCTGCGATCTCCTGCAGCATGTATCAGTCCGTGTGTCGACACACCTCCATGCCATGCAACAAGACTGCCAAGCATCTTCTCTCGTTGTCTTCCTCTGTCCCTCCTTCCACAGATCTTTCCAGTAGTCACAACATGTTCTATTTTCCCTCTTCTCATAACATGGCCGAAAAATGATGACTGTCTCCTTCTGATGTCTGTGATAAGTTGTCTTCGGGCTCCCGTCTCTTTCAAAACCTCTTGGTTGCTCTTTTTGGCTGTCCAAGGTATTCTAAGCCTTCTTCACACTTAAACAGTTAATAGAAAAAACATCAAATATTGTCAGAACTTATTAGTAGCATCTGTAGGCCCGGAGAAAGTTTTCGACTGGGTCGATAGACAAAAACTATAGACAGTAATGGCTCGTAAGTGAACACCACATTGAGGTTTACAAAAGCTTTATATAGCGATTGTAGAAGCGTAGTTAAAATAAATCAGGGAACATCTAAACCATTCAAATTAACATTTGGAGTAAGACAGTGATGTGTCTTATCACCACTCTTGTTAATCACCTACACTGACAGATCAGCAAGGATACCAGGACCATTAACGAAAATAATGGTAACATCAACGAATTACTCTTAACCGATGAGCAGCCCTTGATTTCAGTTACTGCCATGTAATTGCAACAGCATCTCATATCCACATTGAAGAATGCAAATCAAATAATATATGAATCAACATCGATAAGACAGAAGTAATGTCAATAAGAAGAAAGAAGCAGGATTTAAACATAGTACTAGACATACATATATTAGAAAGACATCTAGTTTAAATATTTTGGAACAACCTTTACTGAAGATGGTAAACTGGATGAAGAAATAAACATCCGATGCAGCAAAGCCGGCCAAGTATTGGGACAGCTTGCTCCCCTCTTACAGCATAAGGCCTTCCCTATCAGCACAAAGAAACAACTCATACAAAGCATATGGATTCCCACCCTATGCTACCAATGCCAGACGTGGTCACTCACTAACAAAACACACACAAAAATTAGTAACCATGGAAATGATGTGTCCGAGAAAGACTGTAGGAGTGACCAAAAGAGATAATAACATCAGAATGAGGTCATACGCGACAAAGTCGGCACAGAACCAATTCTAAATTACATACAAAGACAACACATCAAATGGTTTGCCCACTTGGAAAGAATGACTTCTGATGTTATAACATACACGACACATACCACACGAGGAAAGGGACGCAGAGCAAGAGGTAGACCAAGAAAAAATGGAAAGATAGCAGCAGATAAACTCTACAGCACCACGATGTGTCTATGGTCGAAACAGCCAGAAGAGCACGAAGCAGAACCATATATTACCCTCGACACCCGAAGCGGTAAAAGTGGACGTAAAGAAGAAGAGGAAGAAGAAGAAGAAGAAGAAGAAGAAGAAGAAGAAGAAGAAGAAGAAGAAGAAGAAGAAGAAGAAGAAGAAGAAGAAGAAGAAGAAGAAGAAGAAGAAGAAGAAGAAGAAGAAGAAGAAGAAGAAGAAGAAAAAGAAGAAGAAGAAGAAGTATGTAGATTCGAACCTAAGACCTTTACACACTGTATAAATGTTGATTAAATTTATATTTTTATTTATACTGTCTTTTCATTTATTTGTCAATTTATTTGTCAGCCGTTTAATTGCTTCTCTCTGCCCCCCCCCCCCTTTTCCCCACCCGTTTTCGATCTCTCTTTATCTCTAGCCCCTCCCTGTCTTTCTATCTTTGTCTTT